TTTGACGTAATATTACGTCGCACGATCTGTACAATTACATGGCGAATGTAATTTTCTTATTCCTTTAAGATTTTCAAAAAATTTTCAAGTTTTTATAAATAACTCTAAAAAAGTGTATATAATGTACATTTATAGAAAGTATATGCTAATTTATAAGTAAATAATAATATTACAAAAAGTTTTGGGCTATATTTCATAAATACAAAAAGTTACGACTGAAAATATTATTTCAAAAAATATTTGCAGGTTATGTAGATTACAGTCGGCGTGTAAAAATACCACGTCGGACATATAGTGACCAAACTTTCCAACGTCGGACATGGGCAGCTCCATACGAAAAGCAAATGGTGGATCACCGATTTTTCTTAAAGTTTGTAATTTTGTAGTACTTGGGGTACTAAATAACTGTGCCAAACAGTTTTGCAAAAAAAAAATTTTTTTGCAAGATATTTAGATTTGAAAAATCGGAAACTGAAAAAAATGACTTTTTTTGAGAATTTTTATTTCGAAAACTATTGATTCTACAAGAAAAAGTCATTTATTCAAAATTGTAGAGAAAATGTCAATTTTTTATAATATTAAAAAAAAAGTTAGGAAAAATTAATTTTTCAATAATTTGTTTAAACAATAATTTTTTATTGTTAAAAAAAAGAGCAAAGGACATCATGGAATTTCCTAGAAAAATTATTTTCTCAAAATTTGAACCTTCCTTAATAAGTGGTTAAATTTTTAAAGAAGTGCTTTTTGATGTTTTTGAGAAAAAAATTTTTGAAGTTTGCGCTACGAGTTTTTGTGCGTTGCGCTAACTAAGTAGCGCCTATATCAGTGTATTTTAAATGATGATATGACCTTTACTGCTCGCCCCTAATACATTTATTAATTATATACGTATATATTATTATTATAAACAGTTTAACAATATATTTTTAACTTTTTTATAAACATTATTTTCCTTTTTTAATCCATTAATGCCCATGGGCACAGGAACGCAGATATAAAAAGTAACTATTGAGATCCTGGCATTGGGTCTAATGATAATTTTTGACGTTAAAAATTTTTAAAAAAAAATTCTTTTTTTAACAATTTGTTATAAACAAATGAAAAAAAAATGATTTTCATAAAAAATTGATAGCGCCATTCGATTCGACTCAAAAAACTACTACGAGAACGTATATTACATAATTTTTAAAAAAAGACATACTATTATTGCAAAAATGTTATAAACAATTAGCCTGCATTTATACTGTATGAGATAGAAGGATCGTTTTTCAGGTACAAATTTTGTTTAAAAAATTTTTAACGTCAAAAACTCTCCTAATTAAACTAATTTTGTTTAAAAAAATTTTTAACTTCAAAAACGATCCTTCTATCTCATACAGTATAAATGCAGGCTAATTGTTTATAACATTTTTGCAATAATAGTATGTCTTTTTTTAAAAATTATGTAATATACGTTCTCGTAGTAGTTTTTTGAGTCGAATCGAATGGCGCTATCAATTTTTTATGAAAATCATTTTTTTTTCATTTGTTTATAACAAATTGTTAAAAAAAGAATTTTTTTTTAAAAATTTTTAACGTCAAAAATTATCATTAGACCCAATGCCAGGATCTCAATAGTTACTTTTTATATCTGCGTTCCTGTGCCCATGGGCATTAATGGATTAAAAAAGGAAAATAATGTTTATAAAAAAGTTAAAAATATATTGTTAAACTGTTTATAATAATAATATATACGTATATAATTAATAAATGTATTAGGGGCGAGCAGTAAAGGTCATATCATCATTTAAAATACACTGATATAGGCGCTACTTAGTTAGCGCAACGCACAAAAACTCGTAGCGCAAACTTCAAAAATTTTTTTCTCAATAACATCAAAAAGCACTTCTTTAAAAATTTAACCACTTATTAAGGAAGGTTCAAATTTTGAGAAAATAATTTTTCTAGGAAATTCCATGATGTCCTTTGCTCTTTTTTTTAACAATAAAAAATTATTGTTTAAACAAATTATTGAAAAATTAATTTTTCTTAACTTTTTTTTTAATATTATAAAAAATTGACATTTTCTCTACAATTTTGAATAAATGACTTTTTCTTGTAAAATCAATAGTTTTCGAAATAAAAATTCTCAAAAAAAGTCATTTTTTTCAGTTTCCGATTTTTCAAATCTAAATATCTTGCAAAAAAAATTTTTTTTTGCAAAACTGTTTGGCACAGTTATTTAGTACCCCAAGTACTACAAAATTACAAACTTTAAGAAAAATCGGTGATCCACCATTTGCTTTTCGTATGGAGCTGCCCACATAGTAAATTTACACCAGATTTTTTTACAGTGTATTTTAGTATTTCTTAACTATTTCTCAAAAGCAAAGTTAATAAACTCTTCAGAATAGAAAAAGAATAAATAAAGGAATTTTACAATATATTTTAGATTTCTATCCTTGAATTGTGCATTATTATAAAATATTATTTTATCACTTTGGATGTTTGTTTTTGACAACTTGTTTCAAAGTACTAAAATAAAAGAATGTTCCTTTTGTGAGCTTACAAAGGGTTATTTGTGTAAATGTTTAAGATGTGTTAACAAAATCTCATGTTGCGTGTAATTGTTGTATGTAATTTTAGTTTTAAATATAATTAAAAAAGTTATTAACAATATAAAAAGTTACGGAGTTCGGCCGTAACAATAATAATTTACTTACCTAATTTATTTAATTTGTTTAATTTAATTTAATAAATTTTTATTATTATTAATTAATTTCACAATAAATAATTATTAATTCTTTAGAGTAAATAAAAAAAATTATTTAAAAATGCGTACAGTAAATAAATAAAAATGAAAAAAATAAATACTTTGATAAAATATTACTTACGTTTCTTTAAACAAAATTATTTTTGTTTGTTTTATTATTTCAATTTCAAAGTATATAATAATTTAAATCAAATATTTTTTTAATAACATTTTTTTAAATAATAATGTATTTAATTTATTTAGTTTTAATTTTTTTAATTTGGTTAAATAATTTAATTTATTAAATTTTTATTATTATTAATTAATTTTTCAATTAAATGTTACATTTAAGTATGAGAAATCATTTGAAAAATTCGAAAATTGCATAAAAAAAAATTATTGGATAAATAATAATTTCTTATTAATTAATTCTTGATAATTCACAATTACACAATTCACAATTACGCAGAGGAAAAAACGCGATCAATAATCAATAACCTCGGAATTGATACAAAAAGATAAACATGTCAAATTAGTATACAAAAAAACAAAATCCTCCACAAATGTCTAACTTCAAGTGTGGACAGAGATCCGGAAATCTGGAATCACGACGATTATTATATATAATAATAATAATGGAGAGAAAAAAAACAAAAAAAAATAGAAAAAAAGGGAAAAGCGCAATTAAAAACAAAAGAATTTATTCTTACTCAGCCTCAGCTCTCTGGCAAGACAACACCAAGCACAATTCTGCCAAATAATCAAATTTCACAAATTAAAAGAGAAAAGAATTAATAAGACAATACCCCAGTAAAAAAAGAAGTATTGAGTGAAGCGTTTAGGAATTGAGTGAAGCTCTGAGCCAATACGGATTCGAGTAAAAACCGTATTGGGACGTTTGACTCAATCTTTTTTTCATCTGCCGAATACGGTCTTATTTTAGCATTAAAATTAAAATCACATGAGCAGAGTATACATTATAAATTGAAAGCGCAATTGTCCTGGAATGTAAAAATGCCGATTTAGATAAGAAACTGTGAATATTTTTTATTTTTTGTTAAAAATTGGTAAAAGCAAAGTTTGACAAGCGCAACTGAATTTACCATGTGAATAAATGAAGTGGTAAGTTTAAATGGACGAAATGGACTAAAAGAAATCTACTTTTACCGACAGAAAGTTCCTAGAGAATTGTGGTAAATTCAACAAAACAATGAAATTTCATTGTTTTCTAGGAACTTTCTGTCGGTATCAGAAGATTTCTTTTAGTCCATTTAAACTTGCCACTTCATTTATTCACATGGTAAAATCAGTCGCGCTTGTCAAACTTTGCTTTTACCAATTTTTAACAAAAAATATTCACAGTTTCTTATCTAAATCGGCATTTTTACATTCCAGGACAATTGTGCTTTCAATTTGTAATGTGTACTCTGCTCATGTGATTTTAATTTTAATGCTAAAATAAGACCGTATTCGGCGGATGAAAAAAAGATTGAGTCAAACGTCCCAATACGGTTTTTACTCGAATCCGTATTGGCTCAGAGCTTCACTCAATTCCTAAACGCTCCACTCAATACTTCTTTTTTTACTGGGACGTACACTTGACCGACCGCCACAGTCTGATGTAATTTATCGAAACATCTTTAGCACAGCAATCTCAAACAAACTAGACAAACTTGGACAGAAGCTGAATTGATTAAATTGTATGTTATATTATAAAGGAACAAATGTAAAAGGAGCCGAAGGCAGAAACCATTTAGTTGATAAGTGCAGAATTTTCAAACAAAACCTCAAAATTTTAAATATCCAATTACTCCACGTCGAGGAAATTTTAAGCCCAGAGGAAGATTCAAAAAGGACCAGCCAAGACCAAAATCAGATGATTCCTTTCGTAAAAAATCCAACATGTAATATCTCATTCTTCGGAGGTCAACTTATTTCCTATAAAGACAAATGGATATCTCTAGGAGCTCCTGCAACAATTTTAAAACTTATTTCTGGATGTAGAATTCCTTTAATTTAAAAACCACCAATGATCGCAAATTGGAAATGTTCTCGTTTTCACACCACTGTTTCCCCAGAGTTATCTTTACAAATTAATCTTTTAAAGGAACAAAAAATTTTGGAAAAGCCTACAGATTCAAAATCAAGCTTCATATCTAAGATGTTTTTAATTCCCAAAAGTGATGGAGGAATTCGCCCAATTGTTGACCTACGCGGCCTAAACAGACACATTGGGGTAAGAAAAATTCATTTATTCTCTCATTTTAAAATGCCAGAATTTTTACAAAAAGGTGACTGGCTAACCAAAATCGATCTATTGTTGGCTTACTGTCATGTACCTATAGCCCAGGCACATCGCCCCTTCCTTCGTCTTGTCTATGACAAGGAAATTTTGCAAATGACATGCTTGCCCTTTGGCCTTTCATCTGCACCTCAAAATTTTGCAGCCATTTCAAATTGGATCGCTGACATCCTTCGTTCACCTGGCATAAGATTGGTCGTCTATCTCGATGACTTTTGTCTGGCCTCTCAAAACAGAGACAGATTAATAACTCAAACTTTGGAAGCTATAAATCTTCTTGAATTTCTTGGTTGGAAAATTAATCACGATAAATGCATTCTGAAACCATGTCAAAATTCGGAATTCCTAGGAATCCAATGGAACACTCTCACTAACCAAATGAGTCTTCCTAGTAAAAAATCTATCAAAATTATTAACCTTATTAATAAAATCAACTCAAGAAATCTTTGTTCACTAGATGAATTACAGTCCCTCCTCGGACATTTAAACTTCGCAAATTTTGTTATTTCTAGAGGCCGTTTACACTGCCGTTACCTTCAGAGGTTCCTATCTTGTTTCAATTAATCGAGACTGACTTCGACAAAAACGTATTATCCCTCCAAGATTCAAAGAGGAACTAAATTGGTGGCTCACAGCAACAAATTCCTCGATTCCTCTACATCCCAAGAGAATCTCGAACTTCCTGTCGACGGATGCTGTGGGGTGCTCAACTCGACAATTATCACCTTTCAGGAACTTGGACACAAGAACAAAAAAGTTGGCACTCAAACCTCAAGGAGATGTTTGCAGTTTATGCTGCCATCGAAAAAATGAACAATTACCTTCGACAATCACACATTTTTTCCAAACGGACAACCGAACTTTGGTCGTATACATCCGGAAGGAAGGAGGGACCAAATCCTTACCTCTCCTGAATTTAACATACAACCTACTCCAACTGATAGACGATCTGGAAATTACTCTAACAGCAGCCTATCTTCCTGGATGTTACAACGGAATAGCGGATCGATTATCTCGTCAACGCCCTCTCCCGGAATAGCACCTTCTTCCATCTGCAACCAAACAGATCTTCAACAAGCTGGGAACACCCAAAGTAGATTATTTTGCCTCAAAGAAATCAAGAGTAGTCCCTTGTTACGTTTCCCGAGACATGAAGGATCACCAAGCATTGTTCACGGATGCCTTCAGCCGTCCTTGGAATTGCACCCTAGGCTGGATATTTCCTCCACCCAATCTAATGCCTCGTGTCCTGGCCCATCTAAATTATTGCAAAGGTCAATTCCTAGTTGTTGCACCCAAATAGAATCAGACATTTTCGATGGCAGACCTGTCCAACAGGAGCTTAGAACCACCGATAGAAATCGAGAATCTAGACAAGGTATTAGTGGATTTAACAACTGATCTTTCCAACCACACAGGTAGAATCACTCAACCTACAAGTTTGGAAGATTGGGTGTGGAAGGACCTAGTGAAAGACTGGTCTCCTCAAGAAAAGAACTTACTCCAAAAGTTGTTGAGAGCCGCTATGACAAAAGACGTACCAACTGTCTAATCACTATAGCAACTAAGAAAGAGATAAAAGACAAAAGAAAGAAAGAGATAGAAAATCCTAAAGGCGCATTCTAATAGCTTCTCTTATAAGGATGCCGTGTATCGGCTCCGCAAACAATACGTGTTTTGTTAATTCAAAACACAAATAATGTTTAATATAGTCTGTAATGTGATTAATTTGAATTATTAAAGAAGAGGATCTAAATGAGATCTTAAAGGAACATCAGACGGAGCATAAAAGCTTTCAGATACTCTGCCATTTATTTTAACAAATTGGATAATTATGTCGCATCTTTTTTAAGATATGAATTAAAAAGTGTTTTAGGTAAATTAAAATAATGATAAAATATTAATTTTTATTTGCAACTATTCCTACATAGCCTTCTCGGCTTATTTTTTAACAGTTCTAACCTTTAGTTTTGAACGTTAAATCAATTTTTATTTCATGGCAAGCAGTATTTTTATACTCGCACATACAGATTTGAAGTTTTCCTAGAGTGTAATTTGTTTCCGCGAAAATATATAGTAAATACAAGATTGAAGAGTAAATGATTGTAATTATAAAGATGAATAATTTACTACTGCTGACTTAGAGCATTTTTCAACTCTATTTATTTAACCTTTACCTTTTTAAAATGTGGGTCAGTCGAATTGAGACAATAGACATTGTATTATGCACTGAAGAAGTTTGCGACAAAACTAACAGGCCTTTGAGAATCTGTACATTGTAGGTAACTTTAATTGAGTATTTTTTATTAACAGTGTAATTATAATATTTCATTTAAAATTTTGTTTGCAGATAACAATGAAGTCTTGTACTCTGCAATTGATACTCATACTGATTAGTTCCATTCAAGGAATGTTCAACACTCAAAGATGGAATTCATTCCAATACATCGTAACAAACTACTTACAACACAATAATGAAGTAAGATAAATATTACAAATGGTAAATGGCACAAAAAAAGAAAACGAACATTTAAATTTGCACAATACGCCAATAATTTTGATTGATAGTCAAAACATAATGGAATATCAGTCTGCTTCATCTACTAGTAGTTCTTTCTTTGAAGATCCTCCGTCAACTTTGTTCGTTGTACCTCGTCTATCAATAGTTTACAACAACTTCGATGCGTTTTTAGAAATTGTAAGTATATTCATGCCACTATTCTCATCTGTAGGAGAATATTTAGTGTGGGGACTAATTAGGAAAGGGGTCTCAATTACGAACGTGGCACGAAGTTTGCCGAAATTGAGGAAAAGTAGGGGAACTGGGGATGAACGATTTAAGGCAGAGCGTTGCCGACCGCGTACTTATGATATCGGAAATCCGGAACACATTATCAGTGGTAATAATCTTGTATAAAAGAAGTGACTTTTTACTTAATAAATCTATATAATCAGTTCAAAGAATTCCCAGTGTTTTTTTAGTTTCATACCTGACAAGTCCTTTTTACATCGAAGAGAAGACCGAAAGTTTTAATTACCGAGAAACGAAGAAAGAACCTGAACTACAACGAATTCTTTCGATTTATGTGGTCAAAGAATTTTCTTGATGTAACAGTTTTAGAATTCGACAATAGAAGAAGAGAAGCAAATTTTCTTTCAACTAACGATGCCATTATTGCTACACGTCAGTTATTTTATAATCCCTTTTCCAATAAGTTGTATAAGAAGAGAATCTCTAAAAACATGGATTTATTTCCTGGCAAGCTAAGAAACTTACATGGGTATCCTCTGTCAATTGGATTTTTTCACTATCCGCCTTACGTAACATTTTATCGAAACCAAGCAGTTCAGGTGATACACACAGATGGCTTTGATGTTGCCACCGTTAAATCTCTATCAGAAGTTAAAAATTTTACAAATGTCAAAAAACTTACGAATAAGACTTATTGGAACTCTGCAAACTGTATTAAAGAGAAGAACGAAGGTATGTCTTCTGATTTAATATACAACAGGCTACAGATGATTGGACCTCAGGTAATTAAGCCTGTAAAATGTTTCTCTGATCATCTAACAATTGCTGAAAATTATCAGGTCATTTATTACAATGCACTGGTACCATTTTCCAATAGAATGTCCATTTCAGTCATTAATAAACTAGAACTGATAAATATAATAACCTTTTTTTGTTTTATGGCCTTTGTTTGGATTATATCGCGAATTTTAAAGTTTGATCCTAAAAATTGGCAATTGTTGTACATTATGCAAATGTCTCTCTCATGGTGTGTGCCACGCGAACCAAAGTCCGTACTTGAAAGAATAATGATGGGATCGATGCTTATTACATGTTTTTTCTTGTCATCAGAAATTATTTCATCCTTTACGAGTTCAAGTTTGACCATTGTGTCTTCTAATAAAATAGAAAAACTTGATGACTTGTATTCGTCGAATCTTGTTTTAATTGTAAAACCAAACATTTATAACCAAATAGCAAAAAAAATCACAGTTAAGGCTGAGAAATTTTATAATAGAGCAATTGTTGATACTATGAGTGATGAAAAATGTATCGAATATTTGGTAGAACATAAAAATATAACATGCCTAATGCGAAGTATTCAAGCAGAGTTCATAGTCAAAAGTATGGAAGATAAGTATATGGTCAGTCAATGCACGGGGAAAATGTAGAAGCACTGAGTACTTTTTCTCACAGCACTGATTACTGTGTGGATTAAAAAATTAACTTTGGAAGTTCTGAATGATATTCGCATAGTAGTCACTACTGTGAAGAAAGTAATCGATACTTTTCTTGATAGTTATCAGAATTTTGGCGCACATTAGTAAACAACAAAGTATTCAAAGATGTGAATATAGTAATGAATGTTTTCCTCGAAGTAGTGAATTATTTTTTCACAGCTCTCAGTGCTGCGTAGAATTATTTTTCAATATTAAAAAACAAAAGAACGTTTGTTTTGAAATAGGAATAATACACTTTACAATTTGTTATCGTTTTCAAAGCTTTGAATTAAATGTTGTATCTTAAAACAAGGCTGCTGTTCTACCTTAAAATAAGACTCCTTTTTGTAATGAAATTTTTAAATTATTAAAATTATTATTTGGATTTGCTTATAATTTCAACTATAAATTTTAAATCTTTTCTACTGTTTTTTTAAATTGGTATACTATAGAAAAAGAAAATGACTGTATTAACCACTTCGGCGGCATGGCGTTCCAATTGGCGTTCTATGAGTAAGTGGCAGAAGCGGCACAAAATGCGAAAATGGCGTTCCTACTTGAACTCGATTTCAAAAGTCTGTAGTCAAGTTAAGCTTGCCAAAATTGAATATTCTTATTATTTAAGATAAATGAAGATGAATAGACCAAAAAAAATTATTTTTTGGAGGTGTTAAATGGTTTTATAAAGGTTTTAATGTAGCCAATTTTTAACACTTTTTACGAATGGCGTTCCAATATTCACCCAAAATAGTTCACAATATTGGATCCGCCTATTTGAATTTTTGAAAATCAATTTAAGATTCATAATCTCAAATCATAAAAAACATTTGGTTTGGTAAACTTAATTTGTTTACAGAGTTTAGAAATCAAGTTTAAATTGGAACGCCATTTTCGCATGACTACTATGCGAATATCATTCACAACTTCCAAAGTTAATTTTTTAATCCACACAGTAATCAGTGCTGTGAGAAAAAGTACTCAGTGCTTCTTCATTTTCTCCGTGTGGTAAAGGTCATCAAAGAGTATCTTATTTTTTGTACTTGTGGTGCTTTAATGGAAGCATCATCTCCTTATGTAAAATCTTTTGAAAACGTTTTCATGAAATTAGGAGAAGCTGGAATGTATCGACGATGGGAAAAAATGTATGTTAATTCTAAATTATCTACAAAAGTTGTTAAGTCTGCAAATTTTACCTTTGATATCTTGGAATCTAATAGACACATAAGAGGGAGTATGGCTTACATTTTAGCATTTGGATTCGTTTGTTCTATTTTTGTCTTTACTGGAGAGATTTTAATTAACTGGACTCTAAACTAATCATTGCAACTAATGATCTCAATACTTTTATACAAATAAATTACTAGCATTACCAGAAGAGGGAATGGAAATACGCTTCTGATGCAGAATAATATTTACTTTTGTGAAGATTGAAACCAAAAGAAGACAGGTGACAACCTTTCGGCATACCAATAGTTTGACGCTTTCCATATGCTCTCTTACTTGATTATTCACTTTCTTCAAGGCTCGAGCCAGTGAAAATATTTAAAAATACGGACTTTATGTACCAAAAATTGAAAATTAGGGATCAATTACTGACAAAAATATAACTAGTCCAAGTCAAATAAGAGAACATTTTACTTAAAACTATAAATTAAATTTTTCATAACTTGATAACTATAAAACATGAAGATATCGATAACTCCGAATCTTTGACTCGGAGTGATCGATTTCTTCATGTTTTATAATAATTAATGATGGCCCAGTGATAAAATAATTATTTTATATTATAAAAGAATCTAACTTCTTCAAAATTCTTCTGTTTCAAAATTATTTTCATCATTTCAATTCAATTATTTTATCGGGGCCCAAAAAACGGCCTTATTTGACACTCTTTCAGAGTTCAAAGGAACTGGAGATGAAAGAAGAAATTGTACTCTTGTCATTTTAATTAAAAAATTAAAAAATTCTCTTTTATTCTTACAGAATAGTGAATAACGAAAAATAAAATTTCAAAACAAGAAATTCTAAACATATTTCAAAACTGAGCAATATGAATATAAAAGGTATAAATACCTAGACAAATTATTAGGTATAATTTATCATTATTAAGATAAATTTTAACCTGTTCCTTGAATTCGCAAGTGTAAATCGAATATGAAAAATTGCATTAATATTCTTTACTAAAATATAACAAAAACGCAAAGTAAACAAGTAAAAACGAGTAAAATTATTAAAAAAAAATTTTAGGAAAATAATTACCCTAATTTAAAGTGTAACTGTAATACACTGAATAAAAATAAAATTGCACAGAATTTTAGATACGAAACTGGTTACTAGTCTTTTAAACATATTCATCTTCAGCACTTTCTATGGGACTGCATTCCCTGAAATGAAATATTACATTTAAAAAAATATTTTTCTGACGCGCTCCGCAGAAAGTTTGTTTCTGTTATTTTTACCTTAATTAAAAGCTACGGTATTTAATTTAAAACCAAAGTTAGTTTTTATTAATTATTTTGAATGTAATAAGGACTTAAATATTAATGGTTTACATTTAGAGTTGATCCCCTTTGGGTATTTTTATTCCAAAGATTACAAACATTTTCTAAAAAAATTTACTTCTGAGGTACCTTTCTTCGGAGAGCGTCACATTTATTATAATAAAAATTAATAATTTAGAATAAAAATAGCATCTTACATTAATTCTGAATGCTCATTTTCTAAAGTAGTCGCAAGATTTGACGCTGTCGATGTCGATGGGTTCGAAGCGTTATCTATTGTTGACGTGGGTGACAAGTTTAAAGACAAATTGGAAATTTCGGTCAATGGGGCAGAATATTCAGGAGCAGTTTTCTTTGGAACCCTTGTTCTAGTTATATTCAATCTGAAAGAGTAATTTAAGATTTCACAAGAAATATTAGCATTTTTTTAAATTATGATTAGATAGTTAAAAGTATTTTATGTTTCGATTGTTACTTTTCGAAACTAGAAAATACTTCCAAATACATTCAAAAAATATAATGTTCATAACAGACTCACGGTTCTTTCCTTGCTGGTGTACTAGATTTTCGATTTCTGAAATTTAAGTGAAATTCATGAAATAATATTTTCAATATACATTAATTATTATTTCCTACTTGGATAATTTCTTAAAAGAAAAGAAATTTCCTGCTAAGCTAAAATCTCGAACACTGTCAGTTCAGAAGAAAAAATCAAACCCTAGCAGATGCGGAATTGACTCAAAAATGATAAAAAATATTAATTAACTTACGCTTGTTTCTTCGACCCGGAATTCTTGTCTCTTTTCCTAAAATCAAAAACAAAACGAAATTATTTCTCCATTTACTTATAGGAGGAGAAATATTTACTTGGAATTGTTCACTAATGAGGGTTTCCCGAAGTCGCTAATTCTGAGTCCAACGTCAATTTTTAGAAATTCAAAATGGCGGATCCAATATGTCGGACAATTTTAAAAATTCTAGCTAAGCTTGTATAAATGACCACCTCGGGGGTTTTCGGAGCCGCTGATTACGAATTTAACGTCAGTTCTAAAAATTACTTAGCTCGAATTTTTCAAATTATACCGTAGAGATTGTTGCGTCGATAAATGAATAAAATAAATATAGACTTTGTAAATAGTAAAAATATCGATAACATACCCGGCTTCTTTCGTTTTACCCTGGTCCAACAATCCTCGGTAATGTTTCAAAGGCGACCACTTTTCAGTCTTTAAAAACTTAATATCCCAATCAAGTTCCTTATCGAGAAATTCCACCCTGCAATTAAATATAAATATATATTTTTTAACGATAATAATTTATGTATAAAATGATGTAAATTGATATTTCAAAACCGACTAGATGTTTTACTTATATTCTAAAGATATGTATTTCATACTTCGCACTTGATAATTAAATTTAAAAAAAGTAGCAAAAAGTAGCTTTCAAACTAAAAAAAAGTAGTAAAAAAGTATAGCTATCGAAAAATTTAACTTGACGATCAAAAAAACTCGTTTTAGACATTTTACAAAACTGACAAAAATTCCATTCTATATTTTATTTTCCTGACTTTTTCCTAGTTTTCATCAAAATATTTACTTCTTTCTTATCCTGCTAATAAATTCAATTCTTGCAATGAATTTTATTATTCGTGAAAGAATTTAAATACTTATAAAAATAATTTAATTCTTGCCAAGAATTTTATAAAAATTTTTAAATAATTAATTTCTTTAGACAAATTTTATGCAAATTCTAATTTAAATAATTAAATTTCTTAGAAATTTCTATTATTCATGAAAAGATTTGAATTTTGGAGAATTTACAAATGAATGCAGAAATTCAATTATTTTCAAAAGTAATAAAATCAGAGATAAAATTCTTCGCAGAAATTCAATTATGTTTACAAATTTAAAAAAATTCTCGTAAAAATTTAATTATCTTTAAAAATAATAAAATTCTTCTCCGAATTTCAATTATTTTCAAAAATTTTAATACAATTCTTTGCAAAATTTCAATTATTTTCAAAAAATTTTCCTCAATTCAATGATTTTCAATATCTACTATTTTAATAAAATTTTTCAAAAGAATTCAAATATTTAAAAAAAAATGTTGATAAAATTCTAAGCAAACATTAAAGTATTTTCATAAATAATAAAAATTTTACAGGAATTCAACTATTTACAAATTTTTTTTATAAATTTCTTCACAATAACTCAGTTATTTTCATAAATAATATTTTTTACAAAAATTCAATTATTTTCATAAATAATAAAACTCATCATAGAATTTCAATTATTTTTAATACAATTTTAATTGAATTCCTCAAAACATTGAACTATTCTTGAAAATTTTATTAAAATTCCTCGAAAAAATTCAATTTTGTTGATAAAATTCTTTATGATAATTCAATTTAATTAAACATTCATTTATTCAATAAATTATTTATTTTTGTATTTAAATAATTGAATTCTCGTAGAATTTTCCAATAAAAATTGATTTAAAAATGAATATCAGTTAAAATTTTAGATAATAATTGATTATTAAAAGCATTATAGCATAAATTTTAAAAAATAATTGATAATTTAATTCTTTCAAAGAATTTTAATTAAATTTTTGAAAATAATGTCATTTTTCGAAAATTTTATTTAAAATTGTATTAAAAATAATTAAAATCCTGTTAAGAATTTTATTAATTTATGAAAGTAATTGAATGTCTGTGTGGCATTTTATTAAATTTTTTTGAAAATAATTAAATTTCTAAAAAGTATTTTATAAATAATTATGAAAATAATTAAATTTTTGCGAATGATTTTATTAGAATTTTTAAAATAATTGAATTTCCAAGAAGAAAATGTATTACTTTTAAAAATAAATGCATTCTTGTGATGAATATTGTTATTTATGTAAATAATTGAATTCTTGGGAAGAATTTAATTAAATTCTAAAAGAATAATTGAATTATTTCAAAAACATTTAATGAAAATTGTATTTAAAATAATTGATTTCTTTCGAACAATATTATTAAAATATTTGAAAATTATTTTAATTCCTGTGAAGAATTCTAATATTTTTGGAAATAATTGAATTCTTCCAAAGAATTTAAAAAAACATTTTTTTAAATGATTTATTTTTTTGAAGAACTGAAATTAAATTCATAAAAATAATTACATTTTTTCCTGTAAAGTTGTATTAAAAATAATTGAAATCCAGCGATGAATTTTATTATTTATGAAAATAATGAAAATAATTGAATAGTTGCAAAAAATATTATTAAAATTTTCAAAAATAATTGAATTCCTGAGAAGAATTTTATTATTTATGAAAATAATTGAATTATTGCGAAAAATTCTATTAAAATGTTTAAAAAGAATTGAATTTCTATTAAAAATTTTGTTTTTTTAAATAATTGAATTCTTCATAAGAATGTTATAAACATTGTTTTAAATAAATAATTTTTTCGAAGTATAATAAATATAAAAATTTTATTTTAAATATTTGAATTCTTGTTAAAAACTTTATTTGTGAAAATAATTGAATTTTTCGATTAATTAATTTAAAAGAGTTTTAAAAGTAATTTAAATTCTTCGATGAGTTTTATTAATTATGAAAATAATTGAATTCTTGCTTAGAATTTTATCAAACATTTTTTTTAAATTGAATTTCTATGAAAAATGTTATTATTAGTGAAAGTAATTGAATTGTTGTAAAGAATTGTATAAAAATTTTGTTAAATTAATTGAATTCCTGTGAAAATTTTATTATGTATGAAAATAATTGAATTTTGGATGAATTTTATCAATTTTTTTTAAATAATTGAATTCTTTTGCATATGAAAATATTGCATATTGAAAATAATTGAATTTCGAATATTTTTTTTAAATAATTGAACCGTTTTAAAGAATTTGATTATAATTTTTGAGAATAGTTTTTTGATTTCTAGTATTAGCGAAATTTAAGTTGTGGAAATTCTAAAAAAAACAGTAATAGTAGCTTTTAGTGACTGAAATCTAAAAAAGTACCCAAATAGTAGCATAAAGTAAAAAAAATTGTAAATAGTAGGTTTTAGTAGATGAGTGCAAAGGCTGGTATTTTTATGTATTAAAAGTATTCGCATACTCACATGGTAATTTTATCCTCCGCCGTGAGTTTGTTTGCAAATTCAGAAAGAATTTTAAGAAAAGAAAGATTTGACGACGGTGTAGAGAGATCAATCGTTTCACCTTCCAGTAATACGAAACTAAACTTAATTCCAGCTCGATGCAACGCAACCATAGCTTCCTTATTTTTTTCAACACTCGTTCCAAATAGTGCTACAAATTTCTTCGCCAACTCCTATGACAGACAAATTAAATTTAAAAATAAGCTTATTGCGAATTTAAATCTAGTAATTGTCAAATTAGAAACGACGATTTTTGCGAAAATAGGACAAAAATTTGATGTTCAAAAATAAAGTCAAACTCCTCGCAAATATCCATAGTCTAAAAGTACTAAAAAAATTATTTTTTAATTTCTACCTGTACTTTAGTGAATTTTCTACTGTGACTATTAACCAGGCCATCCTCATCTTTTAATTCATTGAAAAGAATCATCAAAGAGTGAAGAATTGTTAAAGCACAATTTACTCTACTGATATTCATCGCTGCAGTTAACGTGTCTTTAAATAAATCTCCATATTCTTTGTTGAATACATCATAGTATGTAAACATGTGTGAAGCCGATTTTGTTGGTATTATATTGTAAGTAATAAGTTTACAATAATTTGCCAGGAATTTTCGTCTTTTATTTAAGCGCTCTATTGAGATGGATGGGTCATCCGTTCTGTTTTCTAAAAAATGTTAAGACAAAAAGGAAAATTAGTTTTAAATCTTGTGGAGAAATGGCAATAATTTATAAAAGATTTATCATTCGAATACTAACTAGTTTCATCACGAATGAATACATTTTCCAATAAAAATACATAGATTGCTTTTTCTGCTCTTGAATCTATTTCGTATACCAATGAATGCATCAGAGGATTGGGATGCGATTTTAATTGATCAGAAAAAATAAGTGACAAATCGCAAAAGGATGAGTGAGAGTGATTCTTTAAAATCATATCCACAGGCTGTAAATAAAATTATTACTGAATTATATATTTAACTTTTGTATAGTACAGGGCTCGAAACAGTGAAAGTATTTCAAAATTCGAACTTTACGGAGCAAAAATGAAAAATGATTAAAATTGTATTAAAAATAATTGAAATTCTACGATAAGTTTTATTATTTGTTAAAAATAATTGAATCCCTAAGAAGAATTTTATTATTTTTCAAAAATATTTAATTTTTGCGAAAAATATTATTACTATTAAAAATAATTGAATTTCTGCAATAATTTGTAACTTTTCCAAAATAAAATTTTTTTTCATGTTTTTAACTAAAATTCTTCTATAAATGCATTATTTTCAACAATTTTTGAAAAAGTTCGTTGAGAAATTTTAAATTCATTTGTTTACAATTCAATTTTACAAAATTTCAATTAAATATGTAAATTCTTCAATTAAATATATATTAAAAAATAAAAACTTCAAATAATATAAAAAAAATCCGCAATTAAACTTTCTCAAAAAAATATTAATTCTACAGAATTGTTAGTTAGAAATATGAAAAATTCAAATTTTCCAAGATTTTCAATTTTTAAATTAATGTATTAAAAATCATTGAATTCTTGCAAAGAATTTTATCAAAAAATTTTGAAAATAATGGAATTCCTTTTAAGAATTTTATCAAAAAATTTGTGAATAACTGAATTTCATCAAAGAATTTTAGTAAAATGTTTGAAAATTCTAATTTAATTCTTTTGATGATGTTCTTTGAATTTTTTTTTAAAATAATGGATAGTTTCATTTATAATTTTAATTGGAAATTTTTAAAGTAATTACATTTTATATGAAGAATTTTTCTTAAGTTTTTAAAATAATCGTGTTTCATAATAATTAAAATTAAACATTTAATTATTGAATTTTATTAAAATTTTTAAAAAATATTTGAATTACTTCGAAAAATTTTATTGAAAATTTAAAAAAAATTGAATTCTTTCATGAAATTTTATTAAACTTGTATTCAAAATAATTGAATTTTTAAAAATATAAAAAAATATAAAAATAATTGAATAATTAAATTATAAAAATAATTGAATTGTTTCGAAGGATTTATTATAATTTAAGGAAATAATTGAATTCCTTTGAAAATTTTAAAAGCAAATTAAGAAAAAAACTGAATTCTTTCGTGAAATTTTATTGAAAATAATTTAATCGTTTTAAAGAATTTATGAAAATCCTGGAAAATAATTGAATTCATTCGTGAAATTTTATCAAAATTTTGTTAAAAATAATTGAATTTTTGCCAAAAATGTTATTATTTATAAAGAATAATTAATTTGTTTCGAAGGATTTATTATAATTTTACAAAATAATTGAATTCTTTCGGAAATTTTTTAAGTGAATTAAGAAAAAATTTGAATTCTTAAGTAAAATTTTATTAAAATTTTGTTGAAAATAATTGAAATTTTGCAAAAAAATTTTATTACTATAAAAATAATTGAAAATATGAACAATAATAATTAATTACGTAAGTACTTAATAAATTAATTATTTAAATTGTGATTATTAAATAAATTATTTTTAAAAAAATTTAAACATCACGTTCCGCAAGCGTAACATTTGCTAGTTCAATTATAATCTAATATTTTAACTGAAATCCATTTTAAATCAATTTTTATTAGAAAAATTGTACTAGAATTCAATTATTTATATACAAAAAATCGATTTATTGAATAATTGAATGTTTCTAAAAATTTAATTCTTATAAAGAATTTCATTACCAAATTTTCAAATAATTAAATTCTTTTGACGAATTTTCATAAAATTTTTAAGAATAATTACATTTTTCGAGGAATTTGATTAAAATTGTATTAAAAATAATTAATGAAATTCTGCAATGAATTTTATAATTTATGAAAATAATTGAATTCCTAAAAAGAATTTTATTATTTACAAAAATAATTGAATTCTTTAGGAAAATTTTATTAAAATAGCAGATATTAAAAATCATTGAATTGAGAAAAATTTTTTCAAATAATTGAAATTTTGCCAAGAATTTTATTAAAATTTTTGAAAATAATTGAATTTCTGTAAAATTTTTCAATTTATATCGTACAATTTGCGAACTTTTCGTCTTTTCTCAATCAAATTACGGACTTTACGGACCTTTTTTTGAAAAAACTGACTTTTACGGACTTCAAGCAAAATTACGGACCTAGTTCAATCCCTGATAGTAAAATTATATTTTATACAATAAAAGAAGGATTCACACTCAATACTTAATTTAAAAAAGTAGCAAAAAGTAGCTATCGAAAAATAATTTTGTTATTTCAACTATTAGCGGGTTTAAAATAATGAAAATTCCAAAAAGAAATAAAGAGGTAGCTTTTAGTGGCACAAATCTATAAAAAGTATCCAAATAGTAGTTAATCGTTTAAAAAAGTAGTAAATATAATAGATTTTAGTAGCTGAGATCGAAACATGAATTAAAAATATTCGTAATTCTTTAATTTCTAGAAATTTCCATCAAGGTTGAATTCAAATTAATTGTTGGAAAGAAAAATTGCATAAAAAAGTGTTTCAGTTTTTGGATCGACTTTAAGGATACCAAAAATCAGAATTTCTCTAACAACAGTTTCAAATCCTACCGTTTTTACATTTTCCTCAGTTATAAGGTCAATCATCATCGCCATGTATGTGTCCAGATGCTCGCGAAGAAGATTACATCGGTCTTCAATTTGAGAATCAGAATCGATCCAATCTTTCATGTGACGTCGATCATATAAAATCGAATTATGCAGTGCCATTAGACAATACTTTACAGCTTCAACAGGTATCGATTTCTCCGATTTTCTGTAATTATAATTACAATTATACACTCGTCAAATTCTTAATTTCAACGTTAGAAGTTAAATTTAAAAGTTAATTAGGTAACATTAGAAATCAATTTTTAAAAACCAAACTCAATGCAACTAACATCGATAAAGCATCTACAATATGATTCAAAAGCGAATCCCAAATTTCCCAAGAATTCAGATCAAATGAAGTGTAGAAATAAGCTATTTTTTTGAGATCCTCTGTAATCTTTGAGAAACTTTCGGCACTACTATCGCCACTTGCATTCGCGATTGATAAGTCTTCAACATTTTTCTTGTACGTCTGAATAATTCCGTCAATTATTCTCGAACGTACTGTATCACAGCTGAAAATAAGAATCAAAATATCATGAGACTACCTTTTTGAAACTTTCAATGAGAGAGTATTTTTATTATTTATTTTAGAAATTTATTTCAATTTTTTAGAAACATTAATTTACCTGTTGAATATAGCATATCCTTCAGTGCACAAGTTGTAAAGAACTTGAATGGCATTTTTCAGTACTTCCAAATCCTCAGTCGTTTCTATTAACGCTTGAATTTCGACTAATAATAAATCAAGTTGTTCTTGTTTCCTAAATTTCGTGTAAATGTTCAAGTCAAAATATTTCGGAATCAAAAGAAGCTGAGCGAGAATTCCAAAATCTTGTTTGTATTTAACAATCAAATCCGGTAAAATTTCAATGAAATGTTTAGTGATTATTTCCTGATCATTTTTAATTTGTTTCTTTACACTCGCCGTTACTTTTTGTGTTGATTCTCGATAAATTGGAAGTTCACCTGAAATGAGCAAAAGCTTAATAAACTCTATGCTTCTACATTGGAACCTCAGAATTAGAAATGGAATCATTCGTTATAAAATTTCTCTAAAGAATTTAATTATTTTTTAAATTTTTAATAAATGCTTCAAAACAAATCAATTATTTTTATAAATAGTAAAATTCTTTGCAAAAATTCAATTATTTTCAAAACAATTCGAAAGAATTCAAATATTTTCATAAAATTTAATTATTTCCTAAAATTTTAATAAATTCTTCAAAAACAATTCAACTATTTTTATAAATATTAAAATTCTTTGCAGGAATTCAATTATTTTTAATCCAATTTAAATAAAATTACAAAAAAGAATTTAATGATATTCAAACATTTCCATAAAATTCAATTTGAAGAAGAATTTAAAATTTTCTAAAAATAATTCAATTATTCTCAAAATATACTTTTAATTGAATTTCTTGAAAGAATTTAATTATTTTCAAATATTTCTATAAAATTCTTCAAAACAATTTAATTATATCTTAAAATTTTTATAAAATCTTCGAAACATTCCAATTATTTTTATAAATAATTTCTTAAATTGTAAAATTATTCGCAAACATCAAAAGCTAAATTTTTAAATAAGTATTCAATTATTATTTTTCCATAGGAATTAAAATACTTCAAAACATTCAAATTCAAACATTTTTAAAATTCAACAACTTATAAGAATATTATTATAAAACATGAATTTATTAATTTATTAATTTACAAAAATTATAATAACATTCTAAGCAAGAATTCAATTATTTTTATAAATAATAAAATTCTTCACAGGGTTTCAATTATTTTTAATACAATTTGAAGTGAATTCTTCGAAAGAATTCAATTATCAATTATTTTTAAAAATTCAGGCTATAATCCTTTTAATATTCAAATATTATCTAAAATTTTAACTGATATTCATTTTTAAATAAATTTTATATTGGAAAATTCTACGAGAATTCAATATTATGTAAATACAAAAATAAATATTTTTTTGAATAAATGAATGTTTCTCGAAATTTAATTATCATCAAGAATTTTATCAACAAAATTGAATTTTTTCGAGGAATTTTAATTAAATTTTCAAGAATAATTAAATTTTTCAAGGAATTCAATTAAAATTGTATTAAAAATAATTGAAATTCTATGATGAGTTTTATTATTTATGAAAATAATTGAATTTTTGTAAAAAATGTTATTATTTATGAAAATAACTGAATTATTGTGAAGAAATTTATAAAAAAAATTTGTAAATAGTTGAATTCCTGTAAAATTTTTATTATTTATGAAAATAATTTAATTTTTGGTTAGAATTTTATCAACATTTTTTTTTAAATATTCGAATTCTTTTGAAACATTTTTTTTCAAATAGTAGATATTGAAAATCATTGAATTGAGGACAATTTTTTGAAAATAATTGAAATTTTGCAAAGAATTGTATTAAAATTTTTGAAAATAATTGAAATTCGAAGAAGAATTTTATTATTTTTAAAGATAATTAAATTCTTACAAGAATTTTTTGTAAATTGTTGAACACAATCAGGGTTGCCACGCTTTTCATCATTTCAAATTTCCTTACTTTTACAGGTTTTTCAGGTTAAAAAACGGATTTCTTTGTAAATATTCAATTATTTTCAATATTAATTTTTACGTATAATTTCGATTATTCTGACAGTCTTCAAATAAAAATATATTAGAAAATAAAAACATGAAGAATTAAAGAAAAATTCAATTCAACTTTTTTATAAAATTAATTCTACAGAATTGTTTATCAAAAAGTACGACAAGTTCAAATTTCCAAAGCTTTTAATTTAAAAGCTTTTCAAAATTCAATTATTTCTAAAAATCTACGCTATATTGCTTTCAATATTCAATAATAATCTAAAATTTTAACTGAAATTTATTTTTAAATTAGTTTTTATTTAAAAATTCTGCGAGAATTCAATTATTTAAATACAAAAATAAGTATTTTATTAGATAATTGAATGTTTCTTAAAATTGAATTTTTATATAAAGATTTTTATCAAACAAATTTTTAAATAATTGAATTCTCTTGACAAATTTTAAAAAAAATTTTAAGAATAAGTTTATTTTTCGGAAATTTGATTAAAATTTTATTAAAAATAATTCAATTTCTCCAAAGAGAAAAGAGTTTTCAAAACTTTTTTTTTCTTATAAGAGTTTTTGAAAATAATTGAAATTTTGCTAAGAATTTTATTAAAATTTTTGAAAATATTTGAATTTCGGAGAAAAATTTATAAAGATTATTGAAATTTTGACGAGAATTTTTGTAAATTGTTGAACACAATTAAATTTCTGCGAAGGATTATATTACTTTTGAAAATAATTGAAAGTCTGAGATAGAGTTTTATTATTTATGAAAATAATGAAATGTTTGCGTAGAATTTAGAATTTTTTTTTAAATAATTGAATTCTTTTGGGGATTTTTTTTATTAAAGTATAGTAGATATTAAAAATCATTGAATTGAGGAAAGTTTTTGAAAATAATTGAAATTTTGCCATGAATTTCATTAAAATTGTTGGAAATAATTGAATTTCTAAGAAAAATTTTACTAATTTGGAAAATAATTGAATTTCTGCAATAATTTGTAATTGCTTCAAAATTCAATTTCTGTTAGTGTTTTTAATTAAAATTCTTCTATAAATTCATTATTTTTAATAATCAATTAAAAATATATATTAAAAAATTTAACTAATTTCATAAGAATTGGAATAATTAAAATTTTTCAAAAATCTACGTTCTTTAAGACGATTTCTAATTAAATTTATTCAAAATTGAAATTTTACAAAATTTCAAATTAAAATCTTTTGAAATTCATCTATACTTATGAAAATTGTAAACGTTACTCTTTAAAAATTCAATTAATTTTGGAATATTTGTGTAAAATTAGATTTCAAGAATAAACTTTCGAAAATAACAATTTTCCTGGATTTCGATCAAAATTCCCTGACTTTTCCAGGTTTTTTCAAGGTTTATAAAATTCTCTGACATTTCCAGGTTGAGTGGCAACCCTAATAATTGAATTTCTCCGAAGAATTTTATAACTTTTGAAAGTAATTGAATCATTTGTAAATTCTCCAAAATTCAATTTTTCCCAGTACTTTAATAAAAATCCCTGACTTTTCCCTGACTTCCCTGACCTGTGGCAACCGTGTAGTTGAGTACAAAGCCTGAATTCTAAAGTAATTAGGTATATTAAAAAAATTCTTACCTGTAGCTGCTTGCTTGATAGAAGAAACCATAATAACCACAAAGGTAGTAACCACATCTTTATCCAAAGATATTTCATCTTCAAGCAACAAATTAGTCATTAAATTCCAATCTTTCAATACTTCACCTTCATCGATCATAGCATCTACAAATAAATCAGCAAATTGGGGAGTATCTGCTTCGTGGAAAAATACTACCAAGTCTCGAATAAGTGTCGTATTTGTAGATGCATCCGACGTCATGCTATCATTGTCTGAACTTGATGAGTTGGAAATATAAATCTGAAGAAACTTGCCAGCCAATCGAGCGAGTGGCTGATGTCTTTCAAACACAAGTTTAAAAATATATTCATAATTTGCAATACTCAGAACTTGGCGATCTTTCTTCAGAATTTCTATAACAATTTTCATTGCTAAAACGCCAACATCGAAATTTACATCAAGTGTCATGTAAACCAATCTCTCCTTGAATTTCTTATTGAAATCATGCAACTTTTCCTTCATATCATTTGCATTATACAAAGGTTGCAAAATTTCGAGACATATTAATCTCACTTCTGGATCACCATCAGAAATTGAGCGTCCTGTATAAAAGATTTGTCATTTGAATATTAAGAAGCATTAAAAAAAAGTAATTTTTATTAAAAAAATGTTAAAAATTAAAATAAAATTTTTATAATTACCAATGTATTTGAGAAAGTCGTCCTTAACAAATAACTCGGGTATTGCTTGAAACCAAAAGTCGAGTTCTTGCATGCAAATTGATCGAATTTTAGCAATGCTGTCGACAAATCTCAAAGCAAAAACTTTATCTATTAATTTAACTATTAGTTCATGTATTATTCGACTATTTTCAACATCGGACTCAGATTGAGAAATATCACTTGAGGAGCGTCTTAAGGATTTCAATATTTTTATCAAACTGGAAATGATTTTTAGAGCTGTGAATAGAAATATAATTTTAAAATAAAATCGTTCTGCAATTGGTTACTCGGGTATTTCGAGCTCACTGATTAGAATTAGAAAAAATAATTTTAAACGCCCTTTTTCAGAAATTTTGATTGTCTGATAACGAACGGGTGGAGCTGCTACTTCTTAAAAACATTATAAAATTTTCTATGCTTCAAGATGTTGTTAAGCAACATCCCGTAGTTTTTCAATGAATTTTCTCCCGGCGCCTTTAAATTACAGCTTTATGCTAGCTTTACTCGCGTTCGGTATAAATATCCCAGACTTCGCACTCGATAATTAATTTTGAAAAATTGTAGCAAAAAGTAACTTTCAAACTAAAAAAAGTAGTAAAAATATAGCTTTCGAAGAATTAAACTTGACGACTGAAAAATTTATTAGCCTGACTTTTTTCTAATTTCCATCAAAAATATTTACTTCTTTCTTATCATGATAATAAATTGAATTCCTGCAATGAATTTTATTATTCATGAAAGAATTTAAATATTTATAAAAATAATTAAATTCTTGTGAATATTTTTATAAAAAACTTTAAATAATTGATTTCCTTCGACTAATTTTATGCAAATTCCAATTTAAATAATTAAATTCCGGAGAAATATTTATTATTCATTAAAAGAATTTAATTCAAATAAAGATATTTATAAAAAAATTTTTAAATACTTGAAGTCTGTTTGAAAATTTTATGAAAAATAGTAGATATTGAAAATCATTGAATTGACAAAAGTTTCTAGAAATAATTAAATTTTACAAAGAATTCCATTAAAACTTTTGATAATAATTGAATGTCTGTGTGGTATTTTATTACATATTATTTGAAAATAATTGAATTTCTAAAAATCATTTTATTATTTATGAAAATAATTGAATTCTTGCGATCGATTTTAATAGAATTTTTTAAAACAATTGAATTTCCAAGAAGAAATTTATCACTTTTAAAAATAATTGAATTCTTGTGATAAATATTGTTATTTATGAAAATAATTGAATTTTGAAGGAAGAATTTTATTAAAATCAAAAAGAATAATTAAATTATTTCAAAAAAATCTAATTAAAATTGTATTAAAAATAATTAATTTCTTTCGAACAATTTTATTAAAATATTAGAAAATAATTGAATTCCTGTAAAAAATTCTAATATTTTTGTAAATAATTGAATTCTTCCAAAGAATTTTTAACAACATTTTTCTAAATGATTGATTTTTTTGAGGAACTGAAATGAAATTTTTAAGAATAATTACATTCCTAGAGCAATTCCTGAAAAATTGTATTAAAAATAATTGAAATCCTACGATGAATTTTATTATTTATGAAAATAATTGAATAGTTGCTAAGAATTTTTAAAAAATTTTCAACAATAATAGAATTCCTGAGAAGAATTTTATTATTTATGAAAATAATTAAATAATTGCGAAATATTTGTCAAATAATTGGATTTATCGATTAATTAATTTAAAATAGTTTTAAAAATAATTGAATTTCTTCGATGACTTTTATTATTTCTGAAAATAATTAAATTCTTGATCAGAATTTTATCAAAAAATTTTTTAAAAAATTGAATTGTCATGAAAAATGTTATTATTAGTGAAAGTAATTGAATTATTGTAAAGAATTGTTCAGCAATTAATTGATAGAAATTAATAGAAATTTTAGACATAAATACCTGCAAGTGTTGTTGTGTGTCTTAATCCTTGAAAATGCGATCCAGACGATTTAATCAAAAAATGTATAAATTTGTCGATAAAATAAGCATCATAAATTATCTCACTCTTATAACACTCCTCAATTAAAATATGCATAAATTGTGAGAAATTGTCGCAAAATTCTTTCCACTCAAAAGTGTATCTTAATAAATGATACTTTCCATCCTCCTAAACAGAAATTAAACATTTTCACATTATTATGAATTAGTAAATTATTAAAGTTTAAGAATTAAATTTAATAACTTACAGTAAAGCAAAATTCTTCATCAATGATTTTCATTAATCGTGGATTATCATACATTTCATGTGTAACAAACTTTTTGCAGCCAATTGAATCCATAATAAATTGTATTAACAATAGGACAGCATCTTTTTTATTCAACTTGTATTCTTGAATCCATTCGTTTACAATTTCCTTTAAAAAATAAATTTCAGAATTAAATTACTGATGTTTCTCAATATTTCAGAATAAAAATAATTGACTATCTTTAGAGTAAATCTTACATTAATCGGTGTACCATTTTTCACGTAATGGTAAATATTGGTTTTTTCATCTAAAATACGTAAATGAATCTGATTTTCTTGAACAGTGTCAGGCGTTGAAGAAGTTGAATCAACGTATAATCTTCTAGAGGAACGTGCGTCTAGAAAAAAAATATTTTTTTAAGTAACAATATCCAAAAGGAAATTTTGCAATAACTATGAAACATTTTTTACAATGAGTTTGAAAAAAAATGTGTTTTTTTTTAAATTCTGCACTAGAAAGTCCCCTTAAAAACCTACTTTTAATATTTTGAAAGTAGGTTTTACTTATTTATAAAATTCAGGTTTAATTATTTTCAAACTCACTACGTGACTTTGATTTCTCAAGTGTGTTCTTCCTCGTTGACAATTTTGATGGCTGTGAATGTCTTGGCGAATAATCGACAAGCGATTGTTGAGAAGATAAACTTGAAGTCTGTTCTTCAGAACTGCTTGCAATTGCCCTGAAACATAAATATTTGATTAAAGTAATTTTTAATCCTTCTGATATAATTTTCATTTAAGAAATCCAATTAATAATTAATCATTCTTACGGTGGATTTTCAGTTCTGTCGGACAAAGAGTCGGAAGAATCTTGAATAGATCTCCGACTTCTCCTTTTCCTTCCAAGCATCATTTTACACTAGAGCTGAGTTCTACTAAATCGAAAATAATTTACATACAGTTACGTACAACTTAGAAAACAATAATAAAACAATTCTAAGAATTAGTTTTTAAAACATATTGTATTTTTATTTTTCGAAAATAATTCTTTTTGAAGAATTTCTTAATTTTTTTTTAAACAATGAAGTTTTTTTTAATAGAATAATAATATTTTGAAAATAATTGAAAATAATAGAAAATAATTTTTTGTAATAATCGTATCTATTAATTATTGTAGTTAAAAATTTGATTAGATTTTAATTAAAAATTCTTCGGAAATAATTAAATACCTATTATTTTTAGAATTTGAATTTAACTTTCAAATAAAACTGGATTCTTTCGAGAAATTTTCTAAAAATTGTATGGAAAATATAATTGAATTCCCAGGTTAAAAAACTAAATTTTTCCAGGTTTTTAAAACTACATTTATATTTTCTCAAATTCAATTACTCAAATAAGTTTTTACAAATACATAGAACTTTATCTATTTTCCTATTATTCAATCCGGGTTGCCACAAAAATATAATTTTGTTTTTCCCTGACTTCAAATAATTTCAAGAAAATGCCATTAAACTTTTTCAAAAAAATTAAATCTACACAATTTTTAGTTAAAAGTAGGAAAATTTCAAACTTTCAAAGATTATAATTTGAAACCTTTTCAGAATTCAATTATATCTTTATATCTAAAAATTCACACTATAATATTTATTTAATATTCAATAATAATCTAAAATTTTAACTGTATTAGTCACTTTAAATCAATTTTTATTAGAAAATTCTACGAGAATTCAATTATTTAAATACAAAAAAAATTATTTTATTGAATCATGGACTGTTTCTCAGAATTGAATACCCATAAAGAATTTTATCAATAACAAATTTTAAATAATTAAAATTCTTTTAATGAATTTTAATAAATTTTTAAGAATAATTTCATTTTTTGAGAAATTTGATTAAAATTGCATTAAAAATAATCGAATCTCTGCAAAAAATTTGATTATTCATAAAAAAGAATTGAATTATTGCGAAGATATTTATAAAAAATTTGTAAACAACTTAATTCCTGAGAAATTTTTATTTATTAATGAAAATAATAAAAATTTTGCCAAGAATTTTATTAAAATAAAATATTTCAAAAGAATTAAATATCTGCTAAGAATTTTACTACTTTGAAAATAATTGAATTTCTGCAATTTATTATTTGTAACTTTAGAAAACAAAAATTTTCCAGGATTACGCAATAAAAATTCCTTGACTTTTTCAGGTTTTTTTAAGGTTTATAAAATTCCCTGACATTTCCAGGTTTAGTGGCAACCCTGAAATTTTTAAAAATAATTTAATAATTGTATATTTCTTAAAGTTGAATTCTTATAAAGAACTTTATCAACATTATTTTAAATAATTGAATTTTTACGAAAAATTGCATTAAAATTTTTGAAAATTGTGTTTTAAATAATTGATTTTCTTTGAAAATTGTATATTATTTATGAAAATAATTGAATTCTTTCAAAAAATTTTATAAAAATTATATTGAAAACAATTCAATTATTATAATTTCATTAAAAATTTTTTTAATAACTGAATTCTGTCAAAGAATTTTATTAAAATTTTTGAGAATAGTTGCATTTTTCGCGGAATTCATTTAAAATTGTATTAAAAATAATTGAAATCCTGTGATGAGAGTTTTAATATTTATAAAAATAATTGAATTCCTGAGAAGAATTTTATTATTTATTAAAAATAATTGAATTCTTGCGAAAAATTTTATAAAAATTTAATTAATCAATGGATATTTTTGGAATAAATAATTTAATTCCTGTGAACATTTTTTTATCTATGAAAATAATTGAATGTTCGTAAAGAATTTTATAAATATTTTTTAAAAATTATTCATCTCTTTTAGGACATTTTTTTATTAAAATAGTAGACAATAAAAATCGTTGAATTTCGAAATATTTCTGAAAATAATTGAATCGTTTTAAGGAATTTTACTAAAATTGTTGATTTTTTTCCAATAATTTTATTAACATTTTTTAAATTAATTTTGCGTTATTTCAACTGTTAACTGTAATTTCTCAAACATGGAAAAAAGTAGCTTTTTAGTAGAACAAATAAAAAAAAGTATCCAAATAGTAAATATTAGGTTTTAGTAGATGAGTGCGAGACCTGAAATTTTTAAAATGTCATTTCTATCAGGTGAAAATTTGAACTTTAAGAATTTATTTAACAATGTTTATTCTATTGTTGGAGTATTAATAAAATATTTGTTTTCAAAATTTTTTAAAAACTTTGGAATAAAAAAAAATTTATGAAAAGAGTTAAAATTTTTTACGCAACACAGTTCACACTTTACATTATAGAGAATAAAGTGTTTGGCTTTGTTAGTAGAATCCGCAAAAACAAAATAATTTTATTCTATAAAAACTTTGAGAATAATTTAATAGAAAACACTTATAATTTAGAACGTGTCAATAAGAATAAATACAAATACCTGACGTACACTTGTGTCCAGAAATATACGTATTTATATTATTCATAAAATTATAAACTTTCTTGTTTCCTTGAGGCTGGAGGCCTCGTTTCCTTTGTTCAGCTTTGTTCTTTGTTCGGATGCACGGATTTAACGGTTTTTTCTACGTGCATAGAAAAACTACTTCTATTATGATACATATCGACTGTAGATTTTCACATTGAGCAGGGTTGGGAACTGCAGACAGGCAGGCAAGCAGTCCAGCTGTGAGAGCACCTTTATACTCAGTTCTTAACGTTCTTGACAATGTGTATTCTATGCTTTAAGCTTTAACCTACAAATGTAATCAATGTAAATAATAAACAAATGTAAAAAACCGGTTTTGATTTATGCAATTTGAGCAAATAATTATAACTTGAATCATAATTAAAAAAAACCTCATTACTGAGAATAAAAATAGACAAGTTATATTTATATTCGCTGACGCATGTTAATCGCATAAACAAACTGTAAATTTAGTTCTTGTATGTTTATTTTCATTATTATAATTTGATATAACCATTGATTATAAAATTTTTAAATACAGATTTTAAAGAAATGGCTTCACGACTGAGCAATAAACGAAAAATTAAGTCTCTTATAACAGTTACCACTTCTGGTATAGCGTTAAGTGGAGGCTTATTGCTTTATCAAGGCAACGAAAAGTTCTTTAATCAAGTGGTGATGCCTGTCACACGACTACTAGATCCAGAGGTAGCTCATAATTTTGGCATCAAAGCTGCGAAATGGGGTTTATTGCCCACACAAAAAATTCAGGATCCCGTTTCACTGAAAACAACTCTCTGGGGATTGCAATTCGACAATCCACTTGGAATGGCTGCTGGTTTTGATAAGCAAGGCGAAGCGATTCCAGGTCTGCAAAAAATGGGCTTCAGCTTTGTGGAAATAGGTAAAAACTTATTTATTTTAGTTGTTTATTTATTTATTAAATGTATTTTAATTATTTTTCTTATTGTAATTTATATCCTCATAAATAAAATCAAACTTCTCTCTGAACATTGCTTGAAACTTCAAAATTTTAGTGTAAATATTTCTTTTCAAAATATGAGAGGCTAAAGTCTGCAAAGTTTTTAAAAACTAAAAATCAAAAAAAAATTTTTACGTTAAATTCATCTTTAATTGTCATGTGCGTAGATTTTTAAAAAAATAATTTATTGTTACTAAGGGTTCATACCACTTTACATGCCTGGAAATTTAGCTTTTTTGTAGAATTTTTTTTTAATCTCTAATACTAGAAATCAAAAAACTATTCTCAAAATTAATAATCAAATTCTTTAAGAAGATTCAATTATTTTCAAAAAATATTCGAAATTCAATTATTTTCAATATCTAGTATGTATTTTCATAAAATATCGCAAAAAATTCAATTATTTAAAAAATGAAATTCGTCAAAAATTCAATTACTTTCATGAATAATAAAACTCATCGAAAAATTGAAATTATTTTTAATACTCTTTTAAATTAATTAATCTAAAAATTCAATTATTCTCACAAATAAAGTTTTCCAAAACAATTCAATTATTTAAGATAAAATTTTCATAATATTTATTATATTCCGAAAAAATTAATTATTTAAAACAATCTTTATAAAATTCTTCTAAAGAATTTAATTATTTTAAAAAATAACAAAATTTTTCACAGAAATTCAATTATTTTTAAATATTTTAATAAAATTTTTCCCAATAATTCAATTATTTTCATAAATAATAAAATTCTTCTCAGGAATTCAATTATTTTTTAAAATTTTAATAAAATTCTTAGCAAATATATTCAATTACTTTCATAAATAATCCAAATTTATCGCAGAATTTAAATTATTTTTAATACAATTTTACAGGAATCGCTCAAAAATGTAATTTTTCTTAGAAATGTAATTTTTCTTAAAAATGTAATTTTTCTTAAAAATTTGATTTCAATTCCTCGAAAAAATCAATTATTTAAAAAAGTGTTTCTTTAGAATTCTTTGAAAAAATTCAATTATTTACAAAAATATGAGAATTTTTCACAGGAATTCAATTATTTTCAAATATTTTAATAAAATTGTTAGAAAGAAATCAATTATTTTAAATACAATTTTAATTACATTTTTTTGAAATAATTCAATTATTCTTTTAGATTTTAATAAAATTCTTCCCAAGAATTATTTTCATAAATAATAAAATGCTTTTTAGGAATTCAATTATTTTCAAAAAAATTTAATAAAATGGCACACAGACATTCAATTATTGTCAGAAATTCTAATAGAATTCTTTGTAAAATTTAATTATTAAAACAACTTTTCGCAATTCAATTCAATGACCGGGAAATTTTGATATTTTTTATTGAAAAGAATTTTTTTTAAGTCACTCATTATTTTGTGAGAAAAAATATAAATCTATTTCGAAACTTATTAATAATATATTTCATTAAAAAATATTGAATGATCTTCTATAAAATTGTTTTATTATGTAAAAAAAATTTTAATACATATTCAGGGTTGCCGAGGGTCCGGGAAATCAAGAAAAAGTCAGGGAATTTTATGAAAAGTAAAAGATTTTTAAAAACCCGTATTTCACATTAACATCAATTCATTTTTCTACAATAATTTGTAACTATTTTTTATATTTTAGAATTTCAATTATTTTTAATACAACTTTAATTACATTTTATGAAAGAATTCAATTTTTAAAAAAATTCTTTATAACATTTTTCGAAAGAATCTAATTATTTTCTAAAATTTTAATAAATCCTTTAAAACAATATAATTGTTTTTATAAACAGTAACATTCATCGCAAAAATTAAATTATTTTTCAAAAGTAATAAAATTCTTCTCAGGAATTCAATTATTTTCAATACAATTATTAACAAATTAGATTGTATTCAATAAATTAAAGAAATTGTTAAATTGTTCATATAAAAGCAAATTACTTTGAAAAATTTCAATTAAAATTATTAAAGAAACTCTATTATTTTAAAGAAACTCAAAGAAATTCTTCAAAAAGATTTAATTTAGATTATGAAAAATTTTAATAAAATTCTTCCCAAATTCAATTATTTTCATAAATAACATGAAATTTTTCCAGAGATTCAATTATTTTTGTAAATAATAAAATTCTTTTTATGAATTCAATTATTAAAATTCTTCGCTAGAATTCAATTATTTAAAAAAAAAAATTAATAAAGTTCTTTGTAAGAATTCAATTAGTTATGAAAATTTTAATATAATTCATTGCAAAAATTCAATTATTTAACAAAATTTTAATGAAATTCTGCACAAACATTTAATTATATTCATAAAATAATTAGAATTACACAAGAAATTTCAATTGAGTACTTAGAAATTTTTTATAAATTTCTTCCTAATAATTTTATTATTTCCATAATTAGTAAAACTCATCACAGAATTTCAATTATTTTAAATTCAATTTTAATAGAATTTCTCGAAAAATGTAAAATTATTCTTAAAAATCTTATTTCAATTTGTCAAAAGAATTTGAGTTATTTAAAAATTTGTTGATAAAATTCTTTATGATACTTAAATTTTAATGAAACATTTAATTATTCAATAAGTTATTAATTTTTGTATTTAAATAATTGAATTCTAGTTGAATTTTCTAATAAAAATTGATTTAAAAATGAATTTCAGTTAAAATTTTATAGATAATAATTGAATACCTATTAAAAGCATTATAGATTAAAGTTTTAGAAATAATTTAATTCTGAAAAAGTTTTAATTGAATTTTTTGAAATTTTTGTTTCCTAATATATATTTAATTGAAAAATTTACGAATAATCGAAATTTTTGGTAAAATTGAATTGTAAACAAATGAATTTGAAAATTCTGAAAATGAAATTTTTTCGAAAATTATTAAAAGAGTCCTTTATATGTTGAATAAATAAGTAAATCTGATTTCAGGTTCTGTCACTCCACAGCCGCAATTAGGAAATCCAAAACCTCGAGTTTTTAGATTATTAGAGGACACTGCAGTGATAAATAGATATGGATTCAACAGCGACGGACACGAAGTAGTTTACAATCGTCTAAAGGAAGTGAAAGAAGATCCGAATTTCGAAGGAATCGTAGGCGTAAATTTAGGCAAAAACAAATTATCCGAGGATGCCGCTTTCGATTATATGGAAGGTCTTCGTAAATTCTCCGACCTCGCCGACTATTTTGTTGTCAACATTTCCAGTCCAAATACTCCGGGTTTAAGAAATCTTCAAAATAAAAATAACTTGCATAATTTGTTACTAAAATTAAACGAGACACGAGAGACACTCAAAAAGCAGACTCCACTTCTTCTGAAGTTAGCACCCGATTTAACTGAAGAAGAGAGACAAAATATCGCGGAAGTTGTGCTAAATAAAAAAACACAAGTCGACGGACTTATCATATCGAACACGACAATCGATCGTTCTCATTTGAAGAGCGTGAACAGAGATGAAATCGGTGGCCTCAGCGGTAAACCATTGACTCAAACGTCAACTGAAATGATCGCCGACATGTTTCAACGTACAAAGGGAAAAGTTCCCATTATCGGAGTCGGAGGAATTTTCTCCGGAAGTGACGCCTATGAGAAAATTAAAGCTGGCGCCTCTCTAGTCCAGATTTATACCTCATTTATTTACCACGGACCTCCAATCGTTGGGAAAATTAAGGATGAATTGAATAAACTCCTCCTTCAAGACGGTTATTCTTCTCTTTCTGAAGCTGTGGGGAAAAATTCAAATTCAAGTACAAAGTAGAATCTAATATTTTAAAAGCCTATTTTTATAAATATAAATAAATAAAATTTTGTATTAATTGTAAGATTTTCTGTAAATAATTGTTAAAACTTTTAATACCATTGTTAACAAAATGTATCTTGATTTTTATTGATCGATTAAAGAGTTGAATAATTTATAAATAGTGACTTTAAGTAAAGACTGCAAAATTGGCCTTAGCCCCAAAAAACTAAAACAAAGATAACAATGTTCTTTTCATGTTAATTTTGATTTTTAAAAAGTCGACTTTCGAATTAAGTAGCAAATTATTGTAACACTACTTTTATTTTTAAATACCTATAATTTTACTACATTCGAAGAAAATTTCAGTAAAAATTAGTAGACTTTATTTCGAACTTAGTAAAATTACCTCCAACATGAATAAAATTAACAAATAAAAATTATTAATTCTAGAACCTTTAATATTTCTAAAGAAAATCTTTATAAAACTTACAAAAATTTATCTCAGAAGTAATAAAATTTGCTCTGTAAATAACAATTTTTAATATCAAATTGTACTACGCTGGACGAAAATTTAAAAAATTTTGTATACAAAAATTTACTGTGGAAATAGTGAAATTTTCTATTACAAATCGTTATTTACAAAGCAAATTTCATAACATTCGCAGAAAATTGGAATAAAAAACAATTTGGGTTTTATTTTATAAGTAGTAAATGTAATTTTGTATTTGTTGCCTTTTATAAAAAAGTTGCAACTTTTAAAACGAATATAAAATGATTTTTAATTTGCAAAAAACTTAAATTCTTCCAAAGTCGAAATTTTTTCTTAAAAGGAACAAAAAATGTTATAACTTACAAAAAGTATTTACGTCACAAAATCCAATTCTTTTTTTTAGTTTAACTAAAATTCTTCTCTAAATCAATTATTTTTAATAATTAATTCAAATTTTCTAAAATATCAAATTAGCATCTTTTGAAAATCAATTATTTTCAAAAAATTTAATAGCATTCTATTGTCAAGAATTCAATTATTTTTAAAGATAATAAAATTCTTTACAGGAATTCAATTTCAAAAATGTTAATAAAGTTAAAATTGTTTTTTGAAAAAATTTAATTATTTTCAAAAATTTTAGTAAAATTCTTCTTACAGAAATTCAATTATTTTCAAAAAATATAATAAAACTCTTCGCAGGAATTCAATTATTTTCAAAGCAATTTTAAATAAAAAATATTTACTTGTATCTCACTCTGCTAATAAATTGAATTCCTGCAACAAATTTTATTATTCATGAGAGAATTTGAATATTTATAAAAATAATTTAATTCTTGGGGAGAATTTTATCAAAATTTTTAATTGACTGATTTCTTTCGACTAATTTTATGCAAATTCTAATTTAAATAATTGAATTCCTCACGAACTTTTATTATTCATAAAAAAAATTGAAGTCTTACCAAGATTTTTACAAAAAAATTTTTAAATAATTGAATTCCTAAGAAATTTTATGAAAATACTAGATATTGAAAATCATTGAATTGCGAAAAGTTTTTTAAAATAATTAAAATTTACAAAGAATTCTATTAAATTTTTTGACAATAATTGAATGTCTGCGTGGTATTTTATTAGATTTTATTGAAAATAATTGAATTCCTAGAAAGCATTTTATTATTTATGAAATAAATTGAAATCTTGCTAATGATTTTATTAGAATTTTTTAAAATTATTCTATTTTGTAAACAATTTAGTAAAGATAAGAGCGTTTTGTTTGTGTGAATAGGGAGGAATGAGAAAAGAAGAAACACTTATGTAAAAAGGCTACAGGCCTATTGTTACATTACTTGTAAATAAAAAAAAAAAAAAAAATTATTAGAATTTTTTAAAATAATTGAATTTCCAAGAAGAAATTTATTAGTTTTAAAAATAATTTAATTCTTGTGATGAATGTTGTTATTTATGAAAATAATTGAATTTTGCAAAGAATTTTATTAAAATGCCTCAAAATAATTGAATTTTCAGGAATAATTTTGTTATTTATTGACATAATTGAATTCTTCCAAAGAATTTTATGAAAATCTAAAAGAATAATTGAATAATTTCAAAAAAATTTAATAAAAATTGTATTTAAAATAACTGATTTCTTTATTTTTGTAAATAATTGAATTCTTCCAAAGAATTTTAAAAAACTTCTTTTTAAATAATTGATTTTTTCGAGGAAAAATTTTTAAGAATAATTACATTTTTTGAGCAATTCATGTAAAATTGTATTAAAATAATTGAAATTTTGCAGTGACTTTTATTATTTATGAAAATAATTGAATAGTTGCAAAAAATTTTGTTAAAACTCAAAAATAATTGAATTCCTGAGAAGAATTTTATTATTTATGAAAACAATTGAATAGTTGCTTAAGAATTATGTTAAAATTTTCAAAAATAATTAAATCCCTGAAAAGAATATTATTATTTATGAAAATAAATGAATTACATATTGCGAAAAATTTTATTAAAATATTTAAAAAGAATTGAATTTGTCTGAAAAATTTTGTTATTTTTGAAAATAATTGAATTCTTCATAAAATTTTATAAACATTGTTTTAAATAATTAATTTTTTAAAAATATAATAAACATTATTTATGTAAATAATAATTGAATTCTTGGGAAGAATTTTATTAAAATCTAAAAGAATAATTAAATTATTTCGAAAAAAATTTAATTAAAATTAAAATTATATTTAAAATATATTGATTTCATTCGAACAATTTTAGGTATTAAAATATTTGAAAATAATTGAATTCCTGTGAAAAATTCTAATATTTTTTAAATAATTGAATTCTTCCAAAGAATTTAAAAAAACATTTCTTTAAATATAATTGATTTTTTAGAGGAATTGAAATTAAACTATTAAGAATAATTACATTTTTTTTAGCAATTTTTATTATTTATAAAAATAATTGAATAGTTGCAAAGAATTTTATTAAAACTTTCAATAATAATTGAATTCCTAAAAAGAATTTTTATTATTGATGAAAATAATTGAATTATTGCGAACGATTTTATTAGAATTTTTTTAAATAATTGAATTTTGTTATTTTTGCAAATAATTGAATTCTTCTGACTACTTTTATAAACATTGTTTTAAATAATTAAGTTTTTCGAAGTATAATAAATATTATGAAAATTTAATTTTAAATAATTGAATTCTTGTGGAAAACTTTATTTGTGAAAATAATTGAATTTTTCGTTTAATTACTTTAAAATAGTATTAAAAATAATTGAAATTCTTAGATGAGTTTTATTATTTATAAAAATAATTGAATTCGTCTAATTGCAATCGTCTAATTGCTTTCCGCCGTAGCGAGGTTTGCCTGTAATTGAATTTTATCATTTTTTTTTTAAATAATTGAATCCTTTTGCGAAATTTTATGAAAATACTTGATATTGAAAATAATTGAATTTCGTATATTTTTTGAAATTAATTGAATGGTTTTAATGAATTTTATGAGTAAATTTGCGAAATAGGAAAATAATGAAGTAAATATAACGGTAGCATCGATGCATTTTATTATGTACACCTAAAGTCTCGATTACAATCTGCCAGAAAGAGGTACATACAAAAAAATAAATAATATATTTCCATATAGATTCTCTAATAGTCATCTAATTAAATTTATAAATAATTGCTCATTAAATGCTATTTGAGTTGTTCGATACTATACAGTATACAGGATTTCATTAAAATAGAATTATAATACCTAGTATATACATATACACTTTTCAAAATTAATAAAGAGAAGAGATTTATTTGTACGTTGCAAGTCAGGCCGCTTGACCCGATAACTGGAAACTATATATCAAATAAATAAACAAAAGCTAAATTACATAATTCTCTTGGTCCTCAATTCAAATATCGCTCTTCAAATAAATAATTCACTAAAAACCAACTTTATACAAGAAATTAGTAAAAGTCGATTTTTTCAAAAAACTTAAAAATAAAACTACATATACAATAAAATATGAAACTTATAATAAACAATAAATAAAACAGTTTCGGGTCTCCATTAGAATCTCAACAAAATTATTCATCACTCTGTTCTTTCTTAGCAATAAATTTTCTTCTAGACCACTAAATTTTTAAGTCGATGACATTTTACAAACAATATCAGGGACTAGCTGGAAAAGTTAACATTGATATTTCAAGTTGATCAAAAACGAATGATCGAACGCTCTGATCAACGATCCTTTATAAAAAGTTTTCTCTCAATAAATAAAAACGATCTCTAAATAATAAAATATAAAATCAATAAAAATATTTCAAAATTATTTGTCTACAAAGACTTTTAAAAACAACAACTGTTTTTCGAAACATTCTACAAATTCGAATGTTTTGATAACTAAATCTTAAATAAATTATACAAAAACCCATAAATATTGAATTATAGAAACAGAACACATTGAATTCTCACTATTTCTCATTTTTCTAATATTGACACATTCGTTTTAAATTGCTCTTAATGATATGGGTAGTGCGTGCCGTTTAAATTTTATTTTTTGGAAGAAAATGTAAATTTCACATTATATGGAATTATGTGAAAGAAAAATTGGAAGAAAGCTAACCAGCTTTTTTTTTAATTAACCATTCGTATCAATCCGCGTAAGACAGTACGACTCTGAGGTATTTCAATTGTACTCATCAATCCAATATCGAAGTTTATTCAGAATAATATTCAGGAAGCAACATGCTTTCGAATATTAAAGTTCAAAACTTCCAAACAATTTTATTCCGAAGAAACTTCGTTTACCTTCATATTCCTTCGATTCAATAATCTCCCACATTAATTAAACAAGAACATTTTGATTGTATTGATGGGGATTCGATATTGTCCATCAAATTTTACTTTTTTTAATGGAAATTTTTTTTCTTTTCTTGTTATTAATAATTAATAAATAAATAATAAATAATGATAAATATAATAAAGATAATAAAGATAATAAAGATAACAAATATAATAAATAACAATAAATAATAAATAGTTTTCCAATTTTTTAAAATTCGCATTATTCTCAAGTTTCATACTTTCGAGTATTTTTTAAAAATCGAATTATTTTAATTAGTTTCCTACTTTTATGTTAACAATTAATTTTCCACTCTTTGATTTTTTAATTTGAAACTATTGGAAAATATTAAATATCATCAATCGATATTAAAGTTTTTTCATATTTGGAAACTGATTTTTATAAAGATATTCCTTCGAGGGAATCGAAGAGTAACTGGAAATATTAAAAAAAGTAAAACTTGAAAGACAATTTACCACCTAATTGGTGATCGAGATGGTTATTGAACATTTCATTTACAACATTTTGTAATCGTCATACTGATTCAATAAACAGTAAGCCTCATTGGAAAATCGTGATCAAAAAAACTGTTTTGATATTATTTTTTTAATCTTTCAGATCAATCACGAATTTTCGAACGAGTTTAGTCATATAATATATTCTCTACATGTATTCATATATATATATTTTTTTTTCATATCTAACTACTATCTTAATTATTTGTGACGTGACAGATTTACTAAATCCAGTCATGTACAAAATTAGATTTAGACGAAGCGTAAATTTTAAAAACTGTCCTTAATATTTAAAATGCCAAATTTTGAACAAAAAATACAAATGCAAAGAAAAATAATTCCCAAATTATTTCACTTTAACAAATTCGAATTTTCTTTCTTTCTTTCTTTTCCGTGACAGTTTATGTTTAAATTAAGGTAATTGGCGAACATCTCTGTTATGGAAGCGGATCAGCTTCTATTCCTTTCAAGCGGAGGGATGAAAATTGGATTTTTTTCCATTTCTTTGGAAACAATAATCAACATATTTTAACTGATTCCATTTTGTTTGTTGTTTTTTTGATGTTAAAATTTTAAACGTATGCAGGTGAGAGATTGAGAGTTAATCGTGAAATAACATTGTTGCGTATAGTGGCTCGTGTATTTCGCGAACTCTTGATTATTTGAACTACCATAATTCGACAATCGTGACAAACTACCATTGATACTCCTCTTAATCGTTCCGCTATCAATCGTTGCTCTGGACTCAGGCCCCCGAGACTTCCAAATGTCGCGGTGTTGAATAATTTTGCTGGACTGCCAGTCGGTTTAAAGCGTCTGAAAACAAAAGAATAATATTAGATTATTTTTTATTTTTTTCTTATTTTCTCTTTTCTGAGAAAGTACCAAAAAAACACAAAAAAAAACTTTTTTTCTATTATTTTATTTTTATTTTTTCACTCGACGCGACGCCTTGCGTTCATAAAATGCAAACTTACATGTTTCAAATTCTTCTTGAAAGAATTTAATTATTTTCGAAACTTTATTAAAAATTATACCATTTTTTAAATAAAAATGCCTTTTAAAATTAAAAAAACAACTTTCAGACCTTAGATCGACTTTAAATCGCAAAAAAGTGTATTTAGTTGATTGAAAATAGAAAAAAGTCGAAAAATTCGTTTATTTGATTTAGTGTTGTCACAAAAATTTTATTTTGTATTTCCCTCACCTTTCACTGATTTCTAATTTCAATTATTTTAATAATTTTGTTAAATAAATATTTAAATACTTCTTATTTGTATTTCCACGGGGAATAAAATTTAAAAAATTCCAATTTAACAGCTTCTGAAATATAATAATCTCTAAAAATTAAAACAACTATAACCCTTCTAACATTCAATTATTTTCTTTAAATTTTAACTAAACTTTACCTCTGAATCAATTATTTTTAATAATCAGGGTGACCGTTTTTTTATAAAAAAAATCCCGGTCATAAATTATTTTTCCCGATCATAAAAAGAAAAATCTCAAAAATTATTTTCAAGAATTCAATTCAATTATTTTCTAAAAATTTTAACTAAAATTCTTCTCTAATTCAATTCTTTTTAATATTTTTTAAAAAAATTCCTTAAAAATTCAATTATTTCGAAAAAAGTTTACTTGAAACTAAAATATTTCTAAAATCCACTTGATTACAAAAAAATTCCATAAAATTTTGAATAATTAAACAATGCTTTTAAAATTAAATTTAAATTAATTTTTTTAATTAAAAATTTAAAAACTTTTAGAAATTTCGTATCACTTTTGTCCTAATTAGTTAAGATTTTTACTAATTTAAATTTAGAGAATACGTTTTGTGATAATATTATTGCAAAAAAAATTTATAAATTAAATTATTTTTCAATATTTCATTTTTCATGTATGACATTTTTTCTATTTTATAAAATATAACATTTTGAAAAACACTTTATATTACTTTTTATAATTCTTTTACCTATTTATAATTTTGAATCTGAAATACATTTTAACTTTTGCTTAGAATTTTATTAAATTTTTTGAAAATAATTTAATTGTTTTGAAGAATTTTATGGAATTTTGGTGAAAATAATTAAATTTTTATAATTGAATTCTTTGGAGAAATTTTATTAAAATTATATTGAAAATAATTAAATTCTGTCGAGAAATTTTATTAAAATTATATTGAAAAAATAATTGAATTCTTTCGAGAAATTTTATTTAAATTATATTGAAAATGAAGGAATTATTGTAAATATCTTCAACGAATTTAATTAAAATTGTATTGAAAATAATTTAAACTGTTTTAAAATGTTGGATTTTTAAAAATTTTGTATCTGAAATTATTCAAAAAATGAAGATGATTTTTGAAAAATAAAAATTTTTGTAATTTAGAATTGAAAAATTTCTAAATAATTGAAATTTGATAAAATCTTTAAAAACTCATTGAATTTTTGAAAAATATAAAAAAAGATAATAAAATTTTTGAAGAATTTTAATTACAAACATGAACAAGATTTCTACAAAAATGTAATAAGTTAAAAAATGTAAATTTTAAAAAATTCCAATTTTCTTTGTTAGAAGATAATTGAATCTTAAAAAGTTATTAATAAAATAATTCTAAAAAATAGTTTTTTTTAAAATATTCTAATGTTATTTTTCCAAAATAATTATAAATTTCTTAAAAGAATTTTTCTATTAATTTAAAAAAACCAATTTAATTTTTTAAAAATTTTAATTTACGCTTGAAGATTTTTCATTTAAATTTTTGTAAATTCAATTATTTTCAAAATTTGTAATAAAAATTCATGAAAAGTTGATTTTCAGAAATTGTAATAAAACACTTGAAAAAAATTAATTATTTTCAATTAAATTTCACAAAATTTCATAATGAAAAATTAAAAATTTTATTTTAAATACAAAAATAATTTTCGAAATATTTGTCTAGAGTTACCTTTTCACACTATAAAAATCGAAATAAGTTTGCATTTTATACTAAAAATGTGGTATTTCGTTGCAATATTTGTGAAAAAAGTCGAAAAAGTCGCTACTTTTGAAAATAAGTCGAAAAAAGTCGAAATATTGGCTTGCACTTATTAATGCAAAATTATAGAAAAGAATAATATAATTTTATGAACAGAAGGCGTCGAACTAATTTACTTGTCTTTTAATCCGAAAAGTGCGAAAATATGAAAAGCAGAAGAAATATTTGAAAATTCTCACCGTTTTTCGGAACTGTGAAGATGTTCCGGTTTCGAGTGTGAAGTTGGAGTGGACTCAGCAGTGGGAACAGCACTAGGCGTCACTAAAGGACTTGATGGAGTCGCGCTTCTCAAATTTGAGTCTCGACGACGAGATGCTGGCGATGCTGGTGCAGAACCAACGGCTCCGGAAGCCCGCAGCCAGGAATTCTTTCCGGATTCAGGTTCGGAAGTCGTTGGCGAAAGTAAAATGCCCGGAGACAGTAAAACAACTGGCACGTGCGAAAAATGTTCCGTTGGAATTCTCATCTAAACATAAAAAATATAGTCAACTTTTTATCACTAAATTACTGAATAAATAAATTTCTATGAAAATAAAAAGTATTAAAATATTGTTTGTTAATTACGATAAAATTTTGAAAGTATGATATTTAAAATGAAAATACCTTGGTGTAACATTTAACACAGACGGTTCTCTCGCAGAGGCGACAACGTTGACCCCAAGGACCAAGAATACCGAATCTCGTTTTCAAACACAAAAAGCAAACCCGCCTCTTTTCGACGTCTTCCTTCACTCGGCCTTCGACTGGCAAAGACTCCAATTCCGCTTTTGTTAAAACACTTCGTATGTGAACTATCTCCTCTAATGTCAACGAAAGTCGATCATCAAGGAACATGTCATTTAAAGACGGTTTCTGAAAACAATTTAAAATCGATAAGTAATTAACTTTAAATTAAATTCAACCTAATGCTAGTAGAAAATGATGAAAAGTAATATTATACCTGTTCAGAATTTTCCTTCTCCCAGTCTTTTGAATTGGAATTAAGTTCACTATCGATACTCTCTCTAGGTTTCGGAACGGGCCTCGTTCTTGGCTGAGGACTCAGTCTTGGACTAATATTCAAGCTCACATTTGGACTGTGCACACCTGGACTTGAATTTGTGCCGACTACTGCTGTCTGTTGACGACTGTGCGGCCGAGAATGTGGAAGAGAAGTTGTGCCGGAAAACGACGGAAGTACTAAACTATTTCCTCGAGTCGCGTGTTTTCTGGCAGACGCTCTTCTCGACGGACATTGCGTTGCCAAGTCATAAGCTGATAAACAAATATTAAAAAATGTGAGACGAAAGTATCAGACTTCGCACTCGATAATTAATTTTAAAAAAGTATAGCAAAAGGTAACTTTCAAACTAAAAAAGAAGTAAAAAAATTACTTTTCGAAAAATTAAACTTGACGAGCAGAAAAAAAATCGTTTTAGATACTTCACAAAACTGACAAAAATTCCAGTCCATATTTTTAATTTCCTGACTTTCCTAATTTTTCAACAAAAATATTTACTTCTTTCTTATCCTGCTAATAAATTGAATTCCTCCAACGAATTTTATTATTCATGAAAGAATTTAAATATTTATAAAAATAATTTAATTTACTGCGAAGAATTTTTATAAACATTTTTAAATAATTCATTTCTTTCGACTAATTTTATGAAAATTCGAATTTAAATTATTGAATTCTTTTGAAGATTTTTACATTGAATTCTGTTTGGAAATATTATGAAAATAGAAGATATTGAAAATCATTGAATTAAGAAAAGTTTTTAAAAATAATTAAATTGTACAAAGAATTCTATTAAAACTTTTGAGAATAATAATTGATTGTCTGTGTGGTATTTTATTAAATTTTTTTTGAAAATAATAATTGAATTCCTAAAAAGCATTTTATTATTTATGAAAATAATTTAATTCTTGCGAACAATTTTATTAGAATTTTATTTAAAATAATTGAATTTCCAAGAAGAAATTTATTACAATTTTCAAAAATAATTGAATTCCTGACAAAAATTTTATTATTTACGAAAATAATTGAATTATTGCGAAAACTTTTATTAAAATGTCTAAAAATAATTGAATTTTCGGAAAGAATTTTGTTATTCATCGAAATAATTGAATTCTTTCGAAGAATCTTATTAAAATCTAAAAGAATAATTGAATTGTTTCAAAAAAATGTAATTACAATAATTGTATTAAAAATAATTGATTTCTTTCAAATAGTTTTATTAAAATTTTTAAAAATAATTAAATTTCTGTGAAAAATTCTAATATTTATGTAAATGATTGATTTCTTACAAAGAATTTGAGAGAAAATATTTTTTTAAGTAATTACTGTTTTCGAGGAATTGAAATTCAATTTTTAAGAATATTTATGTTTTTGTGAGCAATTCCTCTAAAATTGTATTAGAAATAATTGAAATCCTACGATAAATTTTATTATTTATGAAAATAATTGAATTACAGCGAAGAATTTTAATTTCAATTTTTATTTCTGTGAAAAATTTTTTTATTTTTGAAAATAATTGAATTCCTAAAAAGCATTTTATTATTTGTAAAAATAATTGAATTCTTGCGAACGATTTTATTAGAACTTTCTAAAATAATTGAATTTCTGCGAAGAATTTTATTAATTTTGAAAATAATTGAAATCTTGTGACGAATATTGTTATTTATGAAAATAATTGAATTTTTGCAAAGAATTTTATTAAAATGTCTTAAAATAATTAAATTTTCGGGAAGAATTTTGTTATATATCGACATAATTGAATTTTTTCGAAGAATTAATTATGAAAATAATTGAATTCTTGGGAAAAATTTTATTAAAATCTAAAAGAATAATTAAATTATTTCAAAAAAATTCAATTAAATTAATTGATTTCTTTCGAACAATTTTATTAAAATTTTTGAAATAATTAAATTCCTGAGAAAAATTCTAATATTTTTGTAAATAATTGAATTCTTCCAAAGAATTTAAAAACTAACTATTTTTTAAATAATTGATTTTTTGAGGAATTAAAATTGAATTTTCAAGAATAATTACATTTTTCGAGCAATTCCTGTAAAATTTTATTAAGAATAATTGAAATTCTGCGATAAATTTTATTATTTATGAAAATAATTGAATTCTTGCGAAAAATTTTACTAAAATATTTAAAAAGAATTGAATTTCTGTGAAAAATTTAGTTATTTTTAAGAGAATTGAATATTTCATAAGAATTTTATAAACATTGTTTTTAATAATTAATTTTTTGAAATATAATAAATATTATGAAAATTTTATTTTAAATAATTGAATTCCCGTAGGAATTTTATTATTTATGAAAATAATTGAATTTTGGATGAATTTTATAAATTTTTTTAAAAATAATAGAATTCTTTTGTAAAATTTTATAAAAATACTAGATATTGAAAATAATTGAATTTCGAATATTTTTTGAAAATAATTGAATCGTCTTAAAGAATTTGATTATAATTTTCGAGAATAGTTTTTTGAATTCTAGTATTAGCGAATTTAAAGTAGTGGAAATTCTAAAAAAAAACAGAAATAGTAGCTTTTAGTGGCTGAAATCTAAAAAAAAGTATGAAGCCTGAAGTATTAAACTAAACTCTTTCCAAAAATGGAAAAATGTACAAAATAATTAAATTCGTTAAAGGAAAAGTAGAGTAGTTACATTCAAGTTGCGCGTCACAGAATCGATGATACTCGTTTTTCGTGAGACGAAGCTTTCCAGTTTTCCGCCAGGGATTCGCCGAATCCTTCTCGTCATCATCATCGTGACAATCCTCGCAAAGGTCCATTGTGAGTTTTCCCTTGCCACACGCGTAACGCTCTTTGGAATGCCAATAATTTGAGGAATTATCATCCTCATCGTCATCATCGTCGTCGTCATCGAACTTGGAAATTTCAAAGTCATCGTCATCATTGTCATCATCATCTTCCTCGCCATCGAGTTTCAGATCAAAATCCACTGGAATTAATTTTCTAGGCTGTCTAGTTGTCGAGTCAACACTTTCGAGATTTCCCTGCGACCTTTTCGACGATTCAATCACAGATGCTTCTTGTGCGTGAGCTAAAACAATTTTATTTAAGAGAAACAATTAATTATTTAATTTCTTTAATTTTATTTTTCAATTATTTTTTGGATTTTTAAAAACTAACTTCAAAATAGTAATTAGGAAAATTGAACAACTCCAAATAACCAGAAGTCAATCAATTTTGAGAAATTTTTCCTTTTTGCTCTGCATCCTCAAAAATGACTTATGAATTTTGGGTAGAATCTAATATACATTTTAAGAATGTTCCAAAAACTCTTGAGTTTTAAGAGAATTCAATTAATTTTTTAACTAATTGGGAAATGAAAATTCGAAAATGAAAAGTTTATTAAAAATTTTCTTCAAAAAATTAATTTAGCACTGAAAAATATTATTATGGTCAAATTGACGTCAAAAAATGGTCAAAATGCGGGACACATTTTCGTCAATTTCAGTGATTAATTGCATATCAAATTGATAAGTCATTTATTTCTCTTTGGGTCTATTATTACTTTGTTACAAGTTTGTCTATAGACGCCTTAGTTCATAGTGCAAGCTCACCTTGGTCTATAGACGTACCTCACACTCAAGGGCTAAATTAAAAAATGCCGCATAAGCTAAAAATTGACTAAACTTTTACAGATAATGAATGAAAATGCATGATTAATGCATGATTAAGAACTTGAGAAATATCTTCGATTTTTTAAGATTAATAAAATTCAAATTAAAAAAATCTCCATATTCTAGATGAAAATTTTTTTAATTTTCCTTTTAATCCATTTCGTACGAGAAGTCCGTTATTTTTCAATTACATTATTTTGTATTCGCAATTTTCAAAAATGGTGGACTAAAAAAATTTGCATATGGCAAATTGAAATTGCTTCAGGAAAACTTTGAAGTGACAAAATATTGCGTCCAAAATGTATGACCTTATATTTAGTCATTATTCGAAATTTTTATTTTTTCGAAATTCAAAATGGCGGCCAAAATGTCTAAAAGTTTAAAAAGACAGTAAAACAAATTGCAAAACATTTTCTCATCACAAATAACTAAATTCAATATAAAACTAACATCTATGATAAAAGTTTACTATTGACTATCAATTATCAGTATCTTAAACAATTTTCATAAATAAATTATGATTTAAAAGACACAAGAAAATATTGTCAACCCAGCAAACATTGTTACATAACAGTTATGTAACAGTTATGTCACAGAATATCACACGTGATATAACATGATATGAACATGTGACACGAAATGTCGTAACATGAGGGTCACAGTTACATAATTGTTACAAGAAGGGTGATATAACAATTATGTTGCAGCGTGATATTTAATTATTATATCACAGTTATGTAAATATGTTACATAATTAGAAGAATTTGATACATAATTGTTATATCACACTTATATTACGTTGTGACTTATTATTATATCACAGTTATGTAAATATGTTACATAATTGTTATATCACACTTATATCACGTTGTGACTTATTATTATATCACAATTATGAGATTCTGTTACATAATTTGATGAGCTTGTTATATAATTGTAACATCACTATTATGACCTACGTGAAAATTATTGTTATTATTTTTATTCAATAGATAATAACAAATGCCATTTGACATGGTAATATCCAAAAATAATTTTAGTAAAAAACTGATTTATTAATTAGTACATTTTTTAAACTTGATTTTTTTACAGATCTTTAATATTATTTATAAACATGTTCACAAGTTTATTTTATTCACATTTCACAACACTTATATACAGATTAAATAGTAATTTTATTATTTTACATAACGCTTAGAATGAAAAATATCCGCTCGCATGTGGGATCGAACTCACGTCCCCCCGCCCTTGACGACCCGACGCAACGCATTTAAACCGCACGGCCACTGAAGGCTGGATGAGAATTCTCCTAATCTACTATATCAACTGCAGTGCCGTATATTCTGTTACTTACTGTTATGTAACTATTACGTAACAAAGACAAACTTGTGATTTTTTTATTTGTAATATACGATTAACGTGTTAATAAAAATATCTACCACACATTAGTCACAGTGTTCAGTAACAATTCTGTAACATTTACGTAACAATGTTACACACATATAAGTAACAATTTTGTAGCATTTACATAACAATGTCACACACATGTGAGTAACAAAAAGAAACGATTACAATTATACTAATCGGGATTACAAATTTTTATTTTATTCTGAAAATTCTATTTTTCTTCACATAAAATTTGAGAGTTATAAACTTTAAATTAATTTTAAATAAATTTGTTCAAATAAAAATTTTTCTTTATTAATTTCTGACAACTTTTTACAAAAAAAATTAAGATATTTTTTAAATTATTATAATAGACAAACTTTTCAGAGTACGTTAAAAAATTTTAAATAAAATTAAAAGTGAGTGATATATTAAATATCGTAAAATGTTCCAAAAGTCGGCTTCTTCACCCCACTTTACTTTTACGTACTTCTTTAAAAGTTTTGGACATTAATAATTATAATAAATAATACTGATAATAATTATTAATAATAATTTATTGTAAATTAATAAACTTAAACAGTTAAACTAGATTTATAATAAAAAATATTTATTCGAAACAATAATTATAAAATAGTGTTTCATGTTACATAACAGTTATGTAACAATTACATAATTTTATTGCGTAACAGAGAGACTACAATTTTACGTAACAATTTTGTAACGACAGTTACAGAACATTGTTACTTTTATGTTACATAACAATTACATAACAGTTACGTAATTTAGCTCTTATTACTACAGAAATGTTACGTAACAGTTACAGAACATGTTTGCTATTTAAATAATTTGTTTTTAAATATTTTAGTTGTAATAAAGACTTAAAATGTCAATTATTTATATTGACGGTTGTTACTTTTTTGTATTTTCATTTAAAAAATTTCAAACATAGCCTACAATTTTTTGCTTCTAAGTTCCCTTTCTTCAAATCGCGTCACATATAATTAATAAAAATGTAAAATATAATTTTTTAATTTTTAAATAATAAACTATAAAAATACATTATCATTATATTCACGATAGTAAAAATGAATATATATATAATATTAATTCTGTTTATAAGGTTTAATCTCTTCATTGGATAAGTTGTGAATATTGGAATAAATAAATTTATTATTTCATATAGTATTCTCTAAATATTCAAATTAAAATTTGCCTTGTTATGTTAAGGGGGGGGGGGGGTATAGTTAATTCGGTGAAAAAAACGCATGTTTTTAAGAATTTTTTTTGGCGATACGCAGAAAGTTAATTTATTTTATCGCTTTGCATATAATACTGCAACATTTGAACAATATTTTTCTAAATTTTAATTTAAAAATATTAAGAACTGAGCAAGATTCTAACATTTTCCTCAGGCGCCTCCAAAAATTTGCGGTGTTCACTCTAACTCGCAACAGAATCATCCAAAACAAAAAAATCAAAGTGCATTTGTTAAAGGAGATGTTTTTTGAGGTAACATCAGAAGCCATTATTTTTTTATTAAAAAATTACCAATTTTACAATAACAAATTAATCGATTTTTTACAGTGAAAATCGACTTTTTGGCTTTCAAGTGCTACGGAAAATCGAAAAGTAAAAAAACAAAAAAATCCCTTCGAATAATACCTCAAAAAACATCTCCTTTAACAAATGCATTTTGATTTTTTTGTTTTGGATGATTCTGTTGCGAGTTAGAGTGTACACCGCAAATCATTTTTTTTTGACGCGGCTGAGAAAAATCTCATTATCTCGCTCAATTTTTAATATTTTTAAATCAAAATTTAAAAAAATATTGTTCAAATGTTGCAATGTTATATGCAAAGTGATAAAATAAATTAACTTTCTGCGAATCGCCAAAAAAAATTCTAAAAACATGCGTTTTTTTCACCGAATTAACTATACCCCCCCTTAACCTCAGGAACGAAAGCAAAAATTTCTTTTTAAAAAGAATAAGCAATTGCTTTGCGTGTATTGCTTTTGTTTTTAGGAAAAAATTGCCTATGTAAAAAACACATTCTGCCTATTATTTATTTAAGTGCAGTTTAAAAGAATGTATCACATTGTTGTATAATACGTATGTTATTAAACTATGTTACTGTTATATCACGTCCCAGTAACAGTGTTAATATTTCATTATATAATAGTTACATAATAATATTGTCACAGTGTGATATAATAATGTGACCTACTTTATTAATTATAACAAAATTATGTATTTATTATGTCACACAGTTTCGTATCAGTTATGTAACAATTAGAGAACGATGCAATAAGACAAAAATTATTACTCTGTGATGTAATGAATATATCACACAGTTATATAATAGTTATTTGAAAAAATTATGTAACTGTTATATCACCATCCAGTAACAGTGTTATATAACAGTGTTACTATCTCATTATATAATGGTTACATAATAATATTGTCACAGTGTGATATAATAATGTAACCTACTTTATTAATTATAACAAAATTATGTATCTGTTATGTCACACAGTTTCGTAACAGTTATGTAACAATTAGAGAACAATCTAACAAGACAAAAATTATCACTCTGTGATGTAATGAATATATCACACAGTTATATAATAGTTATTTAAAAAAATTATGTAACTATTATATCACCATTCAGTAACAGTGTTATATAATATTGTTACTATCTCATTATGTAGTTGTTACATAACAATATTGTCACAGTGAGACATAACAAGGTGCTTTATTTGTTATGTAACACTTACGTAACGTGTTTGCTGGGAAGAAACTTTCTTTTTCATATCACTCATATTTTCATAGTTGCAAGGAATATTAAAAATGAAAATTGTTTAACATTATTATTTAACAATATTATAAACAATTTAAGAATTGACAAGAATTAAATATAAAAAAATATAGTTCCTTCTTCCACCGACTTTTTTTACGGTTTTTGTAATGAATTTTTGAGCCGTCATTTTAAATTTCGAAAAAATAAAAATCTACACTAACAATCGTTAT